TCATGAAGGCCTAAGGTGCCCCATGCCTGGACTGGATGGCTTTCAGAAACAGTACTGAAAACTATTGATCCAAATGCACCACAAAAAGGTAGGCTTATATCCATTGCTGAATTAGGAAGCTCCCAGAATTACGTTCCTTCAAAAAGGGGGAGAAAAGATAACAAACCATATAATTAGAAGCTGAAACTGCTAATTTCAGGGTTGTAATTATGCAAATGTAACATTGCTGAAACACAAATCACCAATATAGGTTGATTGTTTTAAACGACTGATAACCTAAAGGGAAGCTGCACGTGTGCTTTCTATACCCAATCATTTGGAGGGAAGAGGTCCTCTTAATTCATATGTATTAACATGCAATGATTCCATTGTAGATGCACTGTAGACAAAGAAACACTGGAAAGTTAAGAGTTTCATATTCTAAGACTGTGTTTTCATGAGCAAAAGGCTAACATTGGGAATAGAATGCACATGGTTAGGATGGTAATTAAATTGCATTTACAAAATGTTTTTTTGTTTAAAAATACACAAAACGTACAATAAATCAAATAATGGATTTGATTTCTATAGAGCTAACTCAACAGAATGTATCTTTCTTATAAATGAATAGTTTTTGCACTGTGATTGCAATTTACTCAGAACTGTTCATTGGAGTTGTCCTGAGGGTTATGAAGTCCGGGTCATCCAGACTCAGTGGACAGCATGCTGTAATTTATTTTCACAGTACAGTACTTTGCAGATAAAATTGCACGCCTCCACCTCAGTCTGAAAGCCAGTTTTGTTGCAACTAAGTTGCTGGCTGCTACTCGGAAGGCATCTTGTTCGCGTTCAGTGGATCAAGATATTGTTTTAATCCTGTAACAGACCCTGAGACCTTATGGTGAAGGGCGGAAAATCAATCAGTCAGTAAATCAGTCAATAAAATCATGTCCATAAAGTGAATGTTTAGTCATTCTTTGCTGGGGGAAGATGTCCATATAGGTCCGGAAGTTACTAATGCTTCTTTAAGAGATAAGATGGTCCCAGCTGCTTGGACCACTCCCCAATAAATTCTCTGAAAACCTGAAAATTGTTCTAATTGCTGGCTAGTCTCAACTCTCCACATTTTGGATAAAAGTTCCCAAACACTCTTGAAGGACACATTATGTGGATCCATTTCAGTCTGGCATCTGGCCTGGGTTTAGTTCTGAAACTACATTGGGTGTCCTGATGGACAACCTGTGCTGGGAGAAAAAGGAGAACCATGGTGACCTTTCTAATTCCCCTGGGCATCTCAGTGGTTTTTGATATCGTGGGCCAAGGTATCTTTCTGGACTGTCTAGTTTAGCGATTGGGAGTATAGAAAACACCCGTGCAGCATACAAATGTGAAGCTATGGGCAATCCTAACTTGTTGGATAACTTTGGCTCAACCCAGAAGGAAAATACCCACACAACTTTTGTGGTAGCAAATACCAGAAGACATGCAAGAGCTGTGTGCCATGGCGTTTATGCTATGCAATACAAAAGGACCAAATATTGTCTTCTGTGCTATTTCACATCTACCTCATGGTTGGGGACCCTTCAACCCGTGAGCCAAAGTTATCCAATGAGTTCAGATTGCCCATAGCTGGACCTTTGTATGCATTCACCGTCTAGTCTTTTCCTTTTTTATCCTATCTGGGATCAGTTCTCATAGGGCAGAAGAATCTATTCAGCATATCCTGAGAGGTTTGGTGGCAATGGCGGGACTCAAATGTTCTCATTATTTCAATATTTATTTATTATTACCATGTCCGTAATAAAACCAACCCATATGTTACGCCATATTTAAATAATGCATAATCTTGCATTCTTGCTATTCGATTATTGCAATGTATCTATCATTATGGACACTTATGTGTTGCTTAATGGGTAGTTTGGGATTTGACAATATAACTCCATAATGTCCCTTTAATGACCGTTTGTTTCCTCAGTGAGTTGGTTTGCTTTATTGTCTTGATTGGCTGTTTGAGCTTCAGGAGTAAGTGCTGACGGTATGGGGCTGAAGGCTGATATGCCTGTCAGAAGTAGCACAGCTGCAGAATTTATTAACCATGCTGGCCCCTATTAGCCTATTACACCTGGCAGGTGATGTAACATCCTTCACACCTTCCCAATAACTTATGGAACAGGTGTGAGGCATTTGGTCTAAGGTATACACAGTTCCCTGATGGGGCCTGACCTTTTGACATAACAGGAGGGGGAAGTAATTTATCTTGCTTGTGCTATGTTACTCTGCTTAACGACTGCTCCACTGCTTTTTATTATGTATTCAAGCCTGCTACTTAATAAAAGCACTGAACTTCTTTCCGCTAGAGACGTTACTGCCCCAAATCCAAAAGAACTATTGCATCTGGCAAAACGACATCTTGTTCTGCCTCAGGTCTCTTGGCCTCAGGTCGTGAAGCTCACTGGGTGACCTTAGCTAGTCACTGTTTCTCAGCATCTACTGCCTCACTGGATTTGTGAGAGGACAGAATTTGGTTTAGTCTGACATATACCAGCCTGAGCTCTTCCAAAGCAAATAGAATAAAGACAGACACACCCAACGTACGAAGCACAAAATGCCACAATGGGCCAACCATGCAACACATAAAACCTAGCGTATAGAATAACTTCTTCACCAACACCAGCTTCAAAAATGAATGCTTTAGTAGTGTAGAACAATGCTCTGCTTTTTTAAAGTTAGGACCATCCTCTCTCCACACAGGAAAAACCCAGGCAGGGGAGAGAGTGGCAAAATGAATGGCCTTTTTCTGTTCTGATTGATTCCTTTCCTTTAGGAATTGTGCCCTTGATTAGTAAAATAAAGAAGTAGCTTCATTATGTGAATGGGAAAATGGACTTGATGAGTCACAGATATCCCTATAATTTATGAGAGCATTCTTCAATGTGGCTAATTTAATCTGTTATTGAAGAAAAACCATTCGTTAAAACAGCTGTCAGCAAACCATTCCTTTGAGGACTCCATCATAAAAACATCCAAAGAAAAATGAAAGCCTCAAGGCAAGTGATATGTAAAACAGATGTAAAAAGAACTCCTGGGTTGTGGGGGTTTTTTTTACATCAGCATTGAAATGATAATCCCTCCCCCCATTTTTTTGTTTTTGTTTTAAATAAGAGATTGTGTACATCCTATAATGTTATACATTCTAGAATCCAGTAAAGCATCCTTTATTTCACGGCTCAGTTATTAGATAACCTATAATAAGAACAATAAAACACAACATGGTGCAGTTACCACAGCTGCTTAGCAAGGATTCGTAAGTGTGAACCAGCCCTTATTGTTCATGCCTTGCTGTGTTCTTGTGGAAAAATAAGCCATAGCCAGCTTATGGTGTCAATGGTCTTTGATCAAAACCTTGCAGAACAGATGCTCCCAAACATCTTTAATTTTTGAATCACTCGAAGGGCAAAAGAGCTCACGTTCTTTCTCAATGGCCTAGTGAAAACACTGGATGCAGCTCTCCTCCAAAGCCTACATTCACCAAGGATGCCAAAATAAAATGTCATCCAGTTGAGATCAGGCTTTAGAGAGAGATTTTTATTGCTCGGGGGAGAAAGGTTTACAGTGTGTTAGGTCCTACACAGTATGTGATTTTGACGTAACCAATTAGCCATGCTTAGAAGCCGTGCAACGTAGAATCAGTTAGAAAAGGTGCTTGCGTAAATTGCGTGTAAGGCGCTGCTCTCCCTGACATCCACACACTGGGCAGGCAGCATGCATAGTCTTCCACAATAACTAGAACTCCAGTGGCACAGATTTCCAGCTTGCATGGAAAGTCTACAGGCAATGAGATTTGAACATGGGGTTTCCATACATGGTCTGTGGACATCTGTGTTGGAGTTTAGTGAAGTGCTGGGAACAGCAAAGCAATGCAGCCCTGCTGTGGCCTAAGTTGTCCAAAAATGGCTGTGGTCCTGAGGAATGACAACATTTCTTAAATATAGAGGCAGGGAAATCTCTGAAAAGGTATCTCTGCCTGACAGAACACAACGCATGCCTGGTAGACTGTGTGCAGCAAAGTACATAAAATAAAATATCACCTTCTGGTGTGGTTTTCGGTATTCTAACTATTTTTACCCATCCTTGTAGAATTATATTTCACTTTGAAAAGAGCTTCTAATTGGCTTTCCTCCTTCCCCACTGCTGAGAAATCTCCCCAGAGCAGTCTGTTATGTACATACTTTGAAATTCGGCGCTTCCTTTGAAAAATGTATTATTTCTTGATCTTTAGTAATCTTTATTGGAAAGATTCAGGCGGGGGGAAATCAATTTCAAACAACATTGATATGAGAAACAAGTAACAAATAAAGTAACTTTACAACCACTTCTTTTTCCAATGTCACTGAAACACTATTCTATGTGGATTATTTTTAGGATTGTATATGAACAAATAGGCTTTACTATGCACTAAATGGTAATTTTAATGGCTGCATCGCAATAAACCTCAAGCTCACACACTTCCACCCCCAGAACAATAATGGAGAAACTGGAAAACTTTACTTCCATTTTTTGAACCACCAGGGTTTAGCATTCTGTCCAAACCCTAAACTTTGGTTAATTTTAACTATGGCCTGTGAAGGAAAGCCAGTTCCATAGCCCATGCTATTAATTTGGCTTGTTTCAAACAAACAATAGTTAGGGTTAATGGCAGTTTGTCTGGTTCACATGAAACAAGCTGCACTTAATCAAAAATGGAAGCAAGAGCATACAGTCACCTTTGTTCTAATCACAACCATAGTTTATCTCCGAATGTCTGGATTCAACCAGGATCTTATTTTTAAAAATCTTTTATATCTTTGGTTTAATAAGTTCTACATAACAGCGAACTTTCTCTACTCTTTATCACTACTGGAGTTAAGCTGTTTGCATGCACTAAGACTGACGAAAGGAGAGAGAGAGAAAAAGAATTCACGTTTACAATTCTATACAATTGTAAATCCATGAGTTTTAAATAACAGACAGTGCAAGCTGAGTCCCAATCCTTAGAATATTTATCTCTCATATGTGGAGGATGAGTGTTTGCAGGATCATTGTATCTGCATTAGATTTTAATGGAGATGGGCTGAAACTTTCCAAGCCAAATATATGTATGTATCCACCAGGGTGTCCAGTCCCTGCTGCTGCTTCTCTCACAATCGCCACCTTAGCTCACCTTAGCATTTATTTCAGCTGCCATGCAGAGGTCCTGCCTAAAGCATAACTCATTCATTGCCTACTCAGCCCAGTGATTGCCGGAAGACCTCTATCCCAGGGGTGAGCAACCTACAACCCTCAACCTCATTTTGTGCACTCCATCACTTCCTGAAATTGACCTCTTTCTGCCATCCCACTAGATTTATTTCCTGTTTGTTTGTTTCCTTCTTACTTTCCCTGATTTTTTAAAAAAGCATTTCCTCCAGATTCCTTTCATTGCAGGTTCAGTACAATTGGAAGGGGAAAATAATTGGCTAAGAATAAATTGATGCCTTAAAAAAAAGGTTTGTCCTGGTTGTGTGGCTTAAGGAAAAGAGCTCCCCTTCCCTGCTGAGCACTTGCTTTCCAGAATAGGAGCTGTATCAATTACTGTGTTGAATAATAATAATAATAAATTTCTGTACTCATTTGAAAGTAACCCCATCAAACTCAGTGGAGCTTACTTCTGAGTAGAGCGGAATAGGATTGGGAATTCTGAGACAGCCACAGAAGCAGAGCAGTCTTTATTCTTGATTAGTTAACCCAGGACATTTTTGTCTCTCTCTGCCCATCATTGGTTCTGTCCATGCTCACTGCAGGAATGTGGCCTCCCCCCGCCCCCTGACAGATTACCTCTGAGCAACTGTGGCCCTGGAAAGAAAATATTTTACTAACCCCTGATCTAGCTTGTGATGCTGCAGACTGTGTTGACATGACCACTGTCTGCTCCTCTGTGTATCTGGGGAGAGGATGTGGTTGCATGGTAAAATTCTGTGGATGCCCCCAGTCTGTCCCATGATCAATCCATCATTGCTTTATTTGCGTTTCTTTTAATTGCCTGGGAACTGCAGAAGGTCAACATGCAGACCTGTCCACGTTGCCATTAGGCCGAATAAGATGGTTGGCTTTGGCTTTGGACACAATTGAATGAGTGCCACTCACACACAGATAGCCAAACAATATTGTACCTTCTGCCTCACCTAGTGCTGATCCTCTTATTTCCAGTGTAGCATTAAAATGATGAAAGGGAGGAAGCCCTTATGTGGTAACTGTCTCATGATTTCGGTTCTGACCCACTGATTCCCGTGGGACTTAAAACACAACTCAAAGTTATTTGGACTGGACCCACTGAGCTGAGATGTTGTCTTAGATCTATAATGACTCATTTACAGACACAAGTATTCGGATTATAAGCACGGGTATGTGAATTGTTTCAGAATGAACAGGAACCAGTGGAACTGCAGTCAAGAATAGCCAAGATACACTTTCACTACAATCCTATGCGTGTTTACTCAGAAAAATAAGTTGTACTGTTTTCACTGAGACTCACTCCTAAGTAAGCAGACAGAGGACTGCAGTCTTAGACGTAGTTTTCTTACTGATAATGCACACACACATATTCTAGGCAGAAGCCACCATGAGCTTCCTTCTTTTTAGAAGTAGGGTTATAGTTTCATTTTTCACATCTTCAAATGTCTACCATTTTTTATTATTCTTGGAGTTCTTTACTCATCCTAAAAAAGCATATGATTTTCAAAGATAAACGCATGCAGCTGATCCATCGACCTGAACTGTCTTCAGTCAAAATTAGTAGGCCCATGATGCTGTAAGGGAAAGAAAATGCCCATTAGAAACTGAAAATGTGCACAGCCTTATCAAGTCAGCCATTTCAGACCAATGTGTTAAGTTTCTCTAAACACAGAGCTATTTCAGTTCCATATTATTTGAGGTATTCCAGATACTGATTGTCTTTTAAATGTGATTCTTAACATTCACTGGTGTTCAGGGATGGAAGGATCTCTCAGTTTCAGATCTCTCAGTTTATCATTTTTCCAATCTTAAATTCAGTTCAGCAGTTTGCACTTTAAAATTATCATGACATTTTGCCAGCATTTTACTGGGAATTTCTCCTAATCCACACATTTTTGCACAGTTGTGACTAATGTACCCAAATTTTGCAAGCCATTCCCCCTAAAATAATGCATGTTACTATATTATCTTAACTAATGCATTCATTTTAATGTGCATTTTTACCTAATATATGCATTTTGTAAACATTGTTTGGTTAGAGAACGGTATCACAAAATTTGGATAAGTGTGAATTTAGAAGGGTAACTGTGTCTCGGGTTGCGTGTTGTTTCAGAAAGCATGAGTTTGATATATTTCTCTTTACACGCAAACTGAACTGAATTTTCTCCCTACCGGTGTTGTGAATATCAAGCAGGGAAACATATATTTGGACATTCAATAAATGTATGTTGGACTTCTGCATTCACCAAATCCTGCAATCTACAGCACCATAAACAGGAACTGAACTGAAGTGTTTCAGAGGTACTTTGAACCCCATGCCTCCCTGGTTGTTAACAACTGAACCTTCAAGCAGGTGCCCTCCAGTACAACTTACATTTAACTCTGGAATAGCATGGTTCACAATGCACCGTGTTCTTGTAAATCCAAATGCTATCTCCCGCCTTCACGTTTTCCAAAGGTGCTTTGCAGATTTCGCACTAGGAACACACAGAGTTAAACAAAAACCTTTAGTTGTTATTATTTATTTCATCAATTCTGAGTCAGATACCAACCGGGATAAAAGCTTTAGAAAGCTTGTTGAAAAAGTGTGAGTGACTTTAGCTGGTGCCAAAAAGACAACAGAGAAGGTGCCTGCCTGCTATGAAGTGGGAGGGAGTTCCAAAGGGCAGGTGCTGCCCAGCTTCAGCATTATGCAGGACACACCTCTTGACAAGGTGGCATCTGCAGGATATGTTTGCCTGCGGAGCACAGTGACCAGCTGGGCATGCAGGAAATGATGCAATCTTTTAGGCATCTTGTTCCCAAAGCTTTGCAAGGCTTTGTACACCAAGACCTTGAATCCAGTCCAGTAGCTAATCAGCAGCCGTGTTATGAAAATGCCTGATAGCGAGTCATCTTTAATATACGTTATGGTGTGCAAAACATGGAAGACTCACTAACATTTCAGTACAACTGAACTTAAGATCTCAGAGAAATTCAGCCTCAGGGTTTTCGCCCTGTACAAATATAGTTTTCTTTATTCTTTGGCTGTCATGTGGAGAATGCAGGATCTGTTTAAATGCCATATCCCCATGTTTTTTCCCCTTCCTCACTGCACACCAATGCTACGTTTTCTTATAACTTGGTTCTACAGAAGGAAAATCAGTAAAGCAGCTTCAGGGCTAGTATACTCCCTCCGCTGTTATGGGTGCTTCCTCCAATCTGTCCCATGATGACTCCATTGTCATCTCCATAAGAGTACCAATAGCAGAGCAGCAAGAGCAGAGAATATTTCCACCTGTGGACCTCCCTTTCCATGAGACAAAGAGGGAGATCTGCCCTATCCTATCATCCTTGGGATGCCCTTCCAGGGACCTTAGGGTTGCTCTCTAATTTGATTTAAAACCCGGTGCTTTGATCAAAATTCACAATCGTCATACTACAAATCCATGCATATTTAACGACAGTTGGGTGAAAGACATGTTCCTACCTTGAAGCAAGTTGCATGACAGCAAATCTGCAAGGCATCAAGAATCATCTTTGTGTCTGTGCCCAAGGGCTTCCGGCAGTAAGTGCACATTTCTTTTTCAATAACGGCCCTGTATAAGAACAGGATTCATTGAGTGAATACTACAGTACTGGAAGGTTTCACTGTGCAAATATTCTCACTTTTCCATGCCTGCGTGAAGTTGTGACCTTCTCACCATGGCTCGATGTGCAAAGAGCAGGCTAGAACCGGGTTCAAGATTGCGTTGTCTGAAGGCATAAGGCGCAAGTCACCTGGGCAAGCCCATGAAGGGGAGCTGCATAACTGCACTGCTAAGCTCTTGCACAGCTCTCATTCATTCAGGAAGGTAGCCAAAGCACAGATAAACAGATCACTTGGAAGAGCTGTTGCTAAACAGTGAATCTCCCAAGGCAGGTATGGGGAACCTGTGGACCTCCAGATATTGATGGAATCTGACCCATCAGCCCCAGCTAGCATGGTCCATGGTTCAGGGATAACGGTAGCTGCGGTGCAGTAACTTCAAGCGACAACTTAAATGTATGAATGGACTGACACAAATCTAACACTGCAGACAAATTTTCATATTCACTGACATCATCTTAGTAGTCATACCTTTTCAGTGAAATCAATTCACCCACTCTACTGCTAGCAATCTAGCATACAGTGTAGAGAAATCAAGTGAAGAATGTGGACATGTGAACGGGAAAAGCTTTCAGGTAATAATAATAATAATAATAATAATAATAATTTTTTATTTATATCCCGCCATCCCCAGCCGAAGCCGGGCTCAGGGCGGCTAACAATAATAAAATAAGACAACATTTTAAAGTAATAAGTGTAAAAACTTGGGTATGGGGCAAAACGGACAAGATTTTTCTCACTTTGATGTAAAGAGACAGTAGGAACATTCTACCACATGTGGTGGCCTTGTAGGGTTATTAAAGACTACTGGGAATTAATTCATAATGAACTGGAAAAAATGTTTAAAAGATCCTTTACGAAAAACCCAGAAGCTTATCTTCTGGGTATAATATCGATAGAAGTCTCAAAAGAAGAAGAAGCAAGTGAGTCTATTGCAACTGCGGCCATGTGGATTTTACTTGCACAAAGGTGGAGAACAGACGCAGTTCCAAGGAGCAGTAGCATCATAAACTGCTGGAATATGTGGAACCTAGCGGGTATGACTAATAGAATAAGAAACAGAGATTTAAAAGAACTTAGAGGATTGGATGTTATCTATAGAATATATGAAAAAGTATTATAGTAAGACAATGAACCTAGCGAGATGAGTATAATTCAGCAGCGTAAGTTATAACATGAGATAAAGAGAAGGAGAGAGGAAAATTTAGAACAAGACAATTGTGGATAGGTTGGGAACAGAGAGGAAACTTGGGAAGGAGTGGAAGGGAAGTATATGAAAAGAAGTTTTCTTTCTTATTCTTTTTTGAACGCAACAGTTGTACTAATGTGGATCTACTAATGAAGAACTGCAGCAGAAAAGCAAATAATAGATTATAGCTAGATGATAGATAGATAGATAGATAGATGTTTCTCTCTTTGCTTTCTTCCTCTATATTTCTTCATGCTACAGTGTTCAGTATATATACCCACCTATCAGAAGTAGAGTAAACAGTTTTGATAGATTTTCCAGGGATGTTGTCTTCATAAGCATCATGGGGAAATCTGCTGTGATACAAGGAACATGAGCCGAGTGATGAACAATAGGGTTGTTGTTTTTTTTAAAAAAACACTTTTCAAGTTTGCACTCCGACAAAGAGAGTGTATCATCAATCAACATCAAAACCATCCACAGAGACTTGAGGGCAGACTTCAAAAATATACAGATATACAAGAAACCGTTTTAAAAGAACAGTTGGGGGAGGAGGGCAAGATGAGACTTGTATTGCATTATACGAAAAGGGCACAAAACTTGCTTTTGCATGGCTCCCATTATTCAGTAGGGCTCATGCAGAATGAGGATTTTGCCCCCAAGGGGCTTATATCTTAAGAGCATACTTAAGCACTTGATATTTTAGAAGTAATGGATTTCTAAAATAACAGAAAAGCACACAATAGAGTCAGATAGAGATGTCATATGTGAAACCATTCAGCAGAATGAAGACAGGTAAGGCACAAGGTGAAATAAGAAAACATAAAAATGTGCTATTTTATGTTTTGCAACACTGTTCATTTATGACTCTCAGAAATTTATTGCAGGGCCAGAAAAGAGTCAATAGAAATGCTGCAATCATTGTTTACATGTTTGCAGTCCCAGCTAGGCCAGCAAAACCAGGAGATTTATGATACCCCTGATGGGTTCAACAAACATGACTGCATTCATCTTTGTGGGTCAATGCATGTCTTCCTCCATAAATCCTAACTATTATCTGGTGTTTACATGCATGTATACCTTCTCTCTCTATCTCCACATAGATCCCAGCATTAGGCATGCTAAACCTCTATAGGAATCAGTGAGCTGAGCTGAGTTGTGTATTGTACTGTGGCTATAGTCTGGTAATATATATCCAGCCTTTTTGTTTTAATCCCTTATCACTTGCATTTAATTTCACATTTTATTCTGGGATGACATAAAACCATATATTGTATTAGATTATCATTCATTCTATGCATTCAAGAAACCAGAAAATTAGCCATGCCATAGCTGGGGGTGGGGAAAAATAACATTGCTTGTGTTTAAACAAATCATGTTTAAACTGTTATTTTTGGAATTAGTACACGAGGAAGTATTTGTGGAAAAATACGACGTGTATTTTCCAGGTACCTATTCTCATATGTCCTTGTGTACACAATTGTGTCCTTTGGACTTGAGTAACTGCTTGAGGCAATACAGCTGAAACACATACAAAAAATGAGGAGAATTTCATTCTCTAAAAATAAACATACAAAAGCGGTAAGAAAAAGCAATGTCATAAGAACAGAACAAGAGATCCCTGATGCATCAAGCCAGAGGCCTGTCTTGTTCCAGCACCCTGGTTCAGAGTGCCCAACCTGATTTAGTTGGACAGGGACACAATAGCTCTCTCCTGGCATTATTTTCAGCAACTGGGGTTTGGAGGCAGGCTGCCCCTCTTGCTGGGGGGTAGCTTATAACCACTGTGACTAGTTGCCATTGTCTCAGCCGTTAAACTCACTGGACATCACCATATCTTGGGTAGCAAATTCCATAATTAACACTGCATGCTGTGAAGAACTGCAATTCCATTTGTCTGGCCCAAATCTCCTGCTATTCCATTTCAGTGGATGGCGCCAGGTTTATTAAGAGAAAGGGAGGAAAGCTTTTCTCCAGCCACATTCATGATGCCACCTGCAAAATACTACAGGTTCCATTGTTCACTGTTTAGGCCCTGTTCTTGACCACATTTTTGAAACACTGGGTTGATACAGACAGATGTTTAACAAATGGTAACTTAACACAGGGCACACATATTTGTTTAGAAAGCTGTTCCTGTTTCACCCGATGGAGAGAAGTTGTTGTTTTTTAAATCACAATTCTGTGTAGGATCACGGGCGAATATAATCCTAAACTCATTGGAACAAAGCAAGAATACAGCGTTCCAAGGTGGTAGAATGGACAGTAAGACTTCATACTTTGGCCAGAAAGAACTATGGAAAAGGGAGCTTCTGAGAGAAGCAGTTTGTTCTCCGATGCCTGCCCAAGCTGTTCTTTTAAATAAAGGGGTGGTTTGTACATGCAGAACACTTCTCTTCCCTGAGATTTACAGACGGGCAAAGCTATGTGTGTGTGTGTTACCCACTTGTGAACTTCCCCACCTGTACTCAGAAAGAGTTGCTGGACTGGGAAAGCTGAATTTCTTCTAACACATTTTCCTTGGTAGGGGTTTATGGGAGAGATAGCCTTTTGCAGCTGGGGAAAAAGGAAAAACACTCAATTTATTGGTTTAAGAATACTGTACCTGGATCCTCTTGTGTCCTGGTATAAATGGTTCATTTCTGACGGACCACCTGGAATACTGGCAGATTCATGGTCCTGCTCTGGTGCCCTGTGGAGGACAAGGTTGGAGTAAGAAAAAGAAGTCTAGCCGTGATTTATCCTTCCCCACCATTTCTCTATTCTTCTACTATGCATGTAGTGAAGGAGGGGGATTTAAAACATTAAAAGGGGAAAGAGGAGGGTGGGAACTTAAGAGGGAAAACTCTCAGAGGGAATGCATTCATCAAACACTGGCTACTCTGCCTTTATTTTGAATGCCTGTTGTTTTTGTGCCAGAGCCTCAAGCCCTGCTAAATGAATAGCCATCAGTGCCAAGCCCTGTTTTATATGCAGAACATGTAGCCTGAGAGAGGGCCTTTCCGCTGTTCTTCCAATCTAAAGCAATGAGGCTGATCTGAGAGCAGAGAACGGAGCTCATTCTTCACATACAATCTTTGGCTGCAGTCCTACTCTTGCTTGAGCTGACTCTGAAGTTAGAGAGGTTTCACCCCTGCCACCATTCCACCAAAGGCTTCGTTTTTTAAAAAACAGCCAGCAGACTAAGGGATTTACCAGACCCCAGAGAAGCATCTGCAGTGGTGAATGGAGAAGGGGGAAAATATGAGTATTGTATACTCATACCAAGTCATACTGGCGAGGAAATGGAAAGCATTGGGATGGCATTGGCTTGACGCTTCATCTGACCTCCCCACAAACAAATCAGAACAAATGCACAATAAACAAGTCCTCTCAATTAATAAACAAGTGACATGAATTACTGCCATGGTTATAAGAACTAAGATTTAAGACTCACCTCTTTTTGTTTTGATCCTCAGGAGAGGATTTTACTACAATGAGATCATCTAGTTCTTGGCTCCTGTCAAAGATAAAGAGCAGAGCCTGATGACCACAAAATACTGGATGTTTTACTGGACGTTTAAAAAAAATGCAAACATGAATGTTACTTAATCAAGTCATCAATGATTTCTGTGAGGCAGCATCTATTTTAATTTTCAGATCAGATTCAAGCACTAGACAAAAAGTATGAAGTATTATCTGCTGTGAAGAAATATGGCCCCTTCATTACAAATCAAGACATTTGACTTCATGTCCCATAAGCTGATCCTGTGATTATTTATCAAGACATAAAGCCTACTGTATCTAATAGGACTTGGTCCCAAGTCCTTACACATTATTGCAGTAACTTAGAAAGTAAGTGTGCTTACGACCATCCCACTAATCACGCCTACAGCTCACCAAGCCCTAATTCCATGTATCAGTCATTTATTCATTTTTGAAGAGGCTTGCTTAGTTAAACGTTTGGAGCATAGCAGCCTACTGCCCTCATCCTGCAGACTTCACAGGAAGGAGTGCTCCACTCCAGAGCTTCGTGTTCACAATGATGCACACACAACTCTTTCCTGACCTGCAGGACCCCACATGCTTCTATCCTCCTGGTCTCCAATCACTGCCATCTTCTAGGCCCCATTTCCTGCCCCTCCCAGGCTATCCTTTTCCAGGTTCCCTCCCATGGAGGGAGGGAAAATTCTGGACATGCATTTGATACAGAAGTAGTGCTGCATGGGCATGGAAACCATGTGCTCACAGCTACACATATGTGGGATGTAGCCAATGTTAGTTCTACTCAAGGGTAGACCCACTGAAATGAATGGCCACGACTAACTTAGGTCTGTTCATTCCACTCATACTCTGAGGAGAACTTAGTTGGCTACAAACCCTCCCTATATTTTTAACTCAAGCCACAGGTAACAGATTTTCTAAAGTGCAGGAGAGATAAAATTTAAAAGGATTGCCTTTTGTTTTTCTGTGCAGTGTCATTTACAGAGATGAGGTCATCTAGGTCTCTTCCTCTGTGAGAGAAGCAAAGAAACAAAAAAAATTGGACTAGTTACTTTTGCAAGAAAGGAACCGCTGATCACAAATACTCTCAGGGAAGAGCGAGGGGGAGAACTTAATGCATTAGGTAATTGTCAACTCATACGGGTATTCATTATAGCTAATAAGCCCACCAGAATGTTTTCCTTCCAAGATTTAAATATACTAAAATTATCCTGAGATTTGTTTCTCTTTTCCTGATTAAGCGACATGATCAAAATTAAGCTTCCTGAATAACTCGAATGCCAGCACATAAACCTGCCGTTGATATAATGCACTGCATCCCATTTATGTCAATGTAAAGGAAATGCAGTCTGAATTGGAGGGAGGGAAACACCACTAATTTCATGTCATTTGCGGACTGAAAGCAGCAACAACAGTGAATATCGATGGTATTCGCTGAATTGATTATGGTTCCAGACCTAGAACAAAGAAGCCATTTCTACTCCTGTTCCCGTTTTCAATGGAATTCTCTGCACAAACTGGTCTTGTTCACGGGTCATGATAAGTTAGATTAGCCTCAACCAGAGCCAGGGCCTTTTCAACATTGGCCCCGGCCTGGTGCAACGCTCTGTCTCATGAGGCCAGGGCCCTGCGGGATCTGATTTCTTTCCGCAGGGCCTGTAAGACAGAGTTGTTCCACCTGGCCTTTGGGCTTAGAATCAGTTTGATTCCCTCCCCCTCTTTCTTTTTCCTTTCTCCTCCTGTGAAGAGGCTGCATCCTAATGTTTTAATGTTGTATCTTAATCTTTTAAATTGTATTTTAATCAACTTGTTTTTATTATTGGTTGTTAGCCGCCCTGAGCCCGGTCTTGGCTGGGGTATAAATAAAATTATTATTATTATTATTATTATTATTATTATTATTATTATTATTATTATTATTATCCAGGCTAACCACATGCCGTAACACAGGTTGGTCCTTTCCTGTCCAGTATTTATCTCCCCTCAGCTACTCTCCCACAGGTGCTTTTATCCCGGTAGGGCTCACTATTGGAACTGGGAGCTCAGTTGAGGGACGAATTATGTCAGCAGGGAAACTGAAGGGAAGGAAGTAGCAGGCAGGTGCCGGCAAGATCCTGTGCTCACTCACACATCCCTTTTGCTCTTAAAAATCAGACTCTTTATCCACACCAGACCCACTTTCTTCTACCTGATTGCAGCCAATTCAGGTTTGACCATTGGAGCCTGCTACCATCAAATGTAGCTTCAGGAGCTCTTGCTGTTTGCTCAAGTAACTGACACTTTGGTGCTAAGTATTTTGAATCTCTAGGCAGCCACCAGAACGTTGACTTGAGGATAAGCGTAGATACTTCCAATGCTAAGCAGCTTGCATTAGCGCACCATGTCTTAAGTCATAAAAATGCAATGCGCTGTCTTCTTAATACAGCTATTAATATAAGCATTTCATAACCTTCCTGTTGTTCAAGAATTATGCTTATAGCCAAACCATAAACAAACTGCAGTGCAATAAATATAACATTAGTTCGGGAATTCTATTGGAGCAGAGGATTCATTTTTTTCTGGAGCAGAGTTATGAGTCATATATCTTAGGGGGAGTTTTATTTTATCTATTTTCTTACAGGTACATTCTGCCTTTTTTGTACCATAAGAGGTTCCTAAGCAGTTTCCCTACCCAACTATTGACCAGACCTAAACCTGCTTAGTTTCACCAACGTGGTGGCCTCCTATAACTTCAGACCATACCCTGGGACATTATAGGGAGATGATCATCTCTGAAGACTTCCTCATTAATAAAAACAGACCAAACTAGACTTCTAATGTCAACAGAATCAATGTGGTTGCCTAGTGGTTAGGGCACTGGACTCTGAACTCAACTCTCTATTTGGCTACAAAGCTTACTGAATGGCCTGGGTTGTTAGTTGTAAGTTGCCTTGAGCTGCCTTTGGCAAAAAAAAGCAACAAATAAATTTAGTAATAATCATGTACCACATTTGAGCAGCCTTTACTTTTCAAGGAGTTGATGTGAGGGCAAAAGCTCTGATTTATTTTATACATCCATACACACACACACACACAGACACACAGAGTACGTATTTTTCACCCTATAGACGCACTTTTCCCCCTCCAAAAATAAAGGGGAAATGTGTGTGCGTCCTAGGGGCGAATGCAGCTTTCGCTGAAGCTGGAAAGCCCCCACCGGCCAGCCCCGCAAGCTGGGGGGACAGCGGGAGCGCAGCGTGCCATCCCGCTGTCTCCCGACGTCGTTGGAAGCTGGCGGTGGGAGAAGCCCGCTTTTCCCTGCCGCCAGCCCCGCAAGCGCCTGGAAAAAAAAAAAATTCCCCCCTTTATTCCCCCCCCCAAATAGGTGCGTCTATGGGCCGTGGCGTCCTATGGGCGAAAATACAGTATATCTATATCTCATATATCTAATATCAATAGACAGACCGACAGACAGATAGATAGATATATGCTTCCCTTCAAATGAATTTGCATCAAAAGCTGGCTTATGGAAAAAATAAAAGACAATAGCATGAAAACAGAAACAGAACACTTGCAAACATTCTAAACAAATTCAGGAAACATCCTAAAATGAGGGTCAGACACATAACCTGCCTGCCATCAGTAAGACAAATGGTTAATAGAACAGGAACATTTTAATCAGTTGGTGGGAAACAGTAAGAGAGGGGTCCAAATGGATCTGCCAGGGAAACCCCCACCCCAGGAACTGCTTATTAAATAAATAATATCTCCATGCTCTCAAAATGTAACATAAATGAACGCATACATCTAAAATCATGGTACAAATAGTGCCAAACTGATAGCTAACAAAATGAGGAAAGGGGTGGAATTCTCACCGGTCTTTGGGGTTTTCTGCAGTAAGCGCCAAGCCCATCACGCCCACCAAACGTTCTGGGTAGCCCAAGCACAACAGCTGGCTCTGATGCTACAGGTGAAAGCTCAGCCCTTTTGTACCAAACATGTTTACAGCCATTGGAAAACGTGCAGATATAGTCTTACAACTGGAAAATCCTGCTCCTCGCCTAAACATTGTTTTGACCATTCCTTGGCAACGTGTGTTATTTTCCCTGCTTCTAATACCTCCAAAAGCTTTCCATTAAATGCCACCTTCTCTGGTCCAGTCTTTTAAGAATGCAATTCTAACTTTCCCCCAGCCCAGCAGGGCAGGGTCATTGCTGCCTCTGCAGTCATGCCAGAAGGTGGGGACAGAGGCAGTTTTAGGGTAGCGTATGGTTACCAGACGTCCCCGTTTCCCAGGGACTCTCCCCGGATTTACAAATCTGTCCCTGGACAAAATCCGTCCCCGGAATGTCCCCAGATTTCATTTAATGTCCCTGGATTTATATTTTAAGTGTTGTAGATTTATTAGTAGGGAATGAATGTTGCGTGATTGGTTCAACGGCACAAGACACATCATATGGAGACTTCCGGTGAGGTAAAATGGCGAGCGCCACGGCAGTGAGCAGCTCCTGAAGCCAGCCAGAGCCAACTGCGCTACCAGTCTGGCTCTGGGCTGCTGAGACTGCTGCTGCCACTGCCGAAGGAGAACCGGGGATGCCTGGCGCGTCAACAGGGGGAACCACTGACACACACCCGCGATCCAAATTGATCTGGGAGTGAGAGCGCCTGGCTGACTGCCCAGCGGCACTCTGGGGCCAGTAAAAACCCTGGAGCCGACACAGGGAGAAGGAGGAGAGGAGAAAGAGAAGGAAGAGAGAGAAAGAGGAAGGAGAAAAAAGAGGGGAGCCCATGCTTGCCACGCCGCTGCCGCCACTGAGGCGGAGAGGTAGGAGAGCACCAGGAAGGCAAGGACACATGGCCGAGTCCAGGCCCGACCCAAGCCTACTCCACGGTGGCTAATACTCCAAGAGAGCAGGCCATGGCCCAGAGGAAGGCCACGCAACACAGAAGAGAAGATATTGCTTCTTTTTTAAAAAAATAAAGAATCTTAATAACTTTTTTTTCTCTTTTCAAAAAAAAAAAAGTGCCCCCAGATTCTTTGAAAAAAGTCTGGTAATCTTAGGGTAGCACAACCAGTTTGGTCATGTTTATTCAGGAAGCGCTGCAGCAATGTTGCAGAATGGAGCACGAGAGGTGGAGGGCACGAAATTTTAGTGGTGCACAGGGCGCCGCTGAAATTTGAGAGCCCAAAGTCTACCATTGGTGGGGGTAAGTGGATAGCTGAGACAGCCTGGCGCTGACTCAGACCTGAAGTGCCCATTTCTGCCCATCCATCTCATAAAGAACTGGTTCACACGGTTGGTTGTTTCCATACTTAAGGTTGTAAACTTAACCGTGTTTATTCAGTAAGCTCTGCTGAGTTCAGTGGGGCTTACTCCCACTTGGAGACAATCAGTCAGGTTGTGTATCCACAGCAATGACCAGAGGAGGAATGACTTCTGGGAACAGTGCAGATGGAGGAAACACCATGGTACACCTTTTAAGTTAGTCCTGACTACAAGTCCCATTGATTTCAATCTACTCTGCACATGACTGAGTCTGGATTAAATGATGCACAATGGATTAAATGATGCACAATGATGCATCTATGTGGGAAATGTCTAGCATAAACAGGGATTTCCATGAGTACAACTACCATTCTAGTTTCAATTTCTTTAATTCTCCAGGTCGTGAGAATTGTCCCTGAGAAACAATGGTGGTATCTGTGGCTCATATGGGATATTCTCTATCTACAGGGACAAAACTGGCAACATAGACCAGCCCAAATAGTTTTGTGGGAAGATACCACCCACGTTTTTGATAAGGAGTTAGATTCCTACTATTCTGTGGTTTTATGACCATACAGGGTATTTTCACGTGTGGATTTTTTTAAAAAGAGGAATCCCATCTAATCCTACTGTAGAAAACTAATCTTTGGATGCCTTTTCTCTTTTTATTGTCAACTCCTTACACCTGTGAAAAGGAGATCTTGCCAATATAAGGAGAAAACTGTGCTATATTTAAATTATGTTGCCTTCCTTTGAATTTGTGCAGTTACACAGCACTTGAGCTGGGAGGTGGGGGAGTTAACTACAGGCATGTCTATCCGACAAATTTAAACAATCACTTAACTGTTTCAGTTCCCAACTAAGAAATCATGGAAATTCTAGTTCAATTAAGGAGCTATCAATTGCCTTAAATCTCTTACAAAACCAACATTTGCAAAGTTGGGTGGGGAAGGAAACATTAGAAGTCACACTGTTAAAACCAAAAACCAAAACCAGATTAAGCCTTCAATGCATGTAGATGTGCAGCTCGATGACAAGACTCACCCCTTGGCATGTCCATTAGATGTACGGTTCACTTTGATAAAATCATCAAGATCTTGGTGTCTTAAAGAGGAAAGAAACACAAAGGAAGGTTATGGTCAATGTAACGGACCTTTTAGGTAGCGTAGGGACAAAGGAGGAAGGGGAGGAACCACCACAGGTCCCTTGCATCACATTCAAAACTTTAGGACCTAAATGCCATGGATTCAACCACAGCCACCTGACAGCAGCGCAACTTTGCATGAGTAAGAAAGTGCAACAGAAGGGGACCGATAGTGATTTCTCAAAAAATGGTCTGTTGCACTTGGCCTTGCATAATCTTCACCTTTGCTTCTTGCAGTGCAAACCTCCCTTAGACTGCCTCACAAACCATGGACTTGCTTTGAACAACAGACTTGAAACAAGAGTTTGTATGACAGGGGCAGGGAGATTTATATGAATGTAGTATTTCTCAGTCTTGATCCAATGGCTTTCCAGGGTCTGGAATATATGCCAGAGGGTCCTGCTTCTCTTGGAACTCCTCTGAGGAGACTTCGGGTTCAACATCTGGATGGGATTGGGCAATTACTAACCTTAGCATGTTACAGATTCTGGGAGCAGATTGGCAGGGTAGGGGGAGAATTGTTGGAAGAGAATTTCATAGCATTAGATCATTCCTCCTTTGCTTGGAATCCAGTGTTTTCCTTCTAATTGATTAAACTGCTTTATGAAATCGTTCTTGGCATCTGTCCCTTGCCTTCTTCACAGCTTCAACTTCAGAAATAAATTAAGTGGTAAAGAAATTTCCAATACTTACCCTTTATCACCTTTATCACTTTTAGTTTTGACTTGGATGAGATTGTCCAGCTCCTGACTTCTTTAAACAAAATCAGTGGGAACAAGTACAGAGATATTTCATTTCTTAACGATGAATTTGATATCAAAGCTAAATAAACCACACAAAATATCTTACAGCTGGAGTATATCCATGGCAATTTATAATTAAGATAGATTTGATTTTAGGCAACAACAACAACAAAAAAGTCTCTCAACTGGAACCTTTTGCTTCATAATGTCCTGCATAAATAAATACTATGTCTTGTTCCTTAATAGACTATTTATCACATTTGTATCTTGCCCTTCCTTCACAGAATTTGAGTCAACAAGGTCCTCAATTTCTACAGGTCAGACGATATCCAACTTTAAGACAAGGGCAATGGCATTTGACTAAGGGAGATCCAAGATGGGGTGATGGATCTACTGTGTAGTGGGCAGAGATCTTAGGTCAAGGGATGGCTGGAGTCCAATTCTCACATGCCACCTATGGGTCCTTTGAGGGTTGGAGACTGCATGTCAACTCATTCCCAGCAGCTAGCTTAACAACTATACCCCACTCCCAGGTGAGCATTGTAGGTGCTCACAGGTGGTCAAGGTGATTAGCTCTCTTGGACATCCTTTCCACTCAGGTACCCCAGGAGGTAGCTCTTCTGTCAGCAGATGGGCTGCCAGGTCCTTCCTGACTATGTGTACCAAAATTCATGTAGCCTGATTAAACCAATTTTTCTCAGGTTTGCATGAAAGAGATGCCTTCTGCCATTCCGAACCCTGACCTTCAGCTTTGCGTCAGTCAGCAACCCAGGTGACCCTAGTGACACATCAGTACCTACAGGGTTTTTCATGTTTGCACTTAGCTGGCCAGCTGATTGGGTCTTTCTCTTTGTCCTGAGCCCACAAGTCTTGCAGGATTCACATTGCCTTGCCTAGAGTCTCGTGGTTTGCTAATAAACTACCAGAGGAGCCATCTGGAAGCCTTTCTGGACACTTTGCAGGACCAGGTCTTAGTGCTGGAGGAGAGAACTTAGAAGCTGTACTGGAAAACAAGCAAACTTAGTGTCCTTCATTGTTTCAGTGTCATGGACTAAGCACATGAGCTGGGCCTTATGATATCCATGCATTATTTATCTTTCTTGCTCTCATTCCCATGCCTTCCCTGCTATGGTCACAATCCATGCCCTCTCCATCGCTTTACTGAAGCCATAGAGCCTTTCAAGACTTACCCCTGGTTACTCTTATTGCCTTTGGTTTTGACATCAATGAGATCATTCAGTTCTTGGCCTCTTCAGAGATTAAGCAAAATCAGTGGAAGAAAGTAAAGAGATATTTCAATGGTCAGCTAGAATTTGACATTCAAAGCAAATAAACCACATGAAATGAGGCTAAGCCTTCTGCTTCATGCTGTCCTGTATAAATAAGCACTGTGCATCATGCCATGTTGGCACATTTACTATATCTGTAGCCCAGCTTCCCTCCACAGAGCTCAGGGCCGCATATACAGGCTCCTTTCTTGACAACAGCCCTGTAAGATGGTGAGATATTCACCGAGTCCAATCAATGAGCTGCCTAGCCAACTGGGAATTTGAACCCTGGTTCCTTGAACTCACGTCCCCCTACTTCATGTTCATGTTCCACAGTCTGCACAACGTGGAACAACTAGGCTGAACACAACTTCAAACATCACTCTTTAACATCACACATCCTCCTTGCTGGCTTTTGAAGTCACAGACTGTCAGACAAATAAACAAAGACTTCTCAGGTGGTCCCTAGTGAGCTGTTATACATGGCCAGTGAGCTGCATTTAGCTTGACGGGTCAGACGTTGTACAGGCCTGTTCTGACCCAGTTGCCACAGTTGTAAATGAAATGGATCCTATCCTCCTTCAAAGAAGCTCAGAACAGCAAACATGGTTATCCCACTTTATCCTCAGAACAAGCCTATGTGAGGTGCTTAGGACGTAGTTCACACAGTTAGCTCTCATTCTGAAAATGACACATCAAACACAGTAGGGCCTACCTCCCAGCTCTCTCTTTTGTCATGGTTTTGTTAGCATCTGATTCACTGGGTTTTGCTGGGGCTATCTGCCTAAAAAACAGAGAAAATGGGTTCATCTAAATAAATTTGAAAGTTGGGTTGTGCATGTTCAATTATTCAGCTCGCCCAGATTAAGGACAGAAACCAAACTGATATTCCAGAGAAGTTAGAAAGATTCATCTTGACACAGTTCATACTCTGACAATACAAAGTCTAGCATCTGCTTGGATATGTGCAGCACAAATGTCTCACTCTGAGAGTTGATCGTTGTCCAGTGGTTCTCGCAGTGCAGTAAGTTTGGACTGTGCAATGAAGGTTGGATATCAAAGGAATAGCTAAAAAAAAATTTATTGTTGTGACTTAACCAGGTCAAAACGAAGTGATTATGAGAGAGAACCGAATAGCATCTTCTTCTGCAGGTACCTATTATAATAATCCACCATAGTTTCTATGGAAATGCTAAGAAGCATTTATCACAAGCTAAACACACACATGCACACATTATTATTTATTATTATTAAATTTGTATACCACCCTTCAGGTCTCAGAGTGGTTCACAGGATAAAATCAGAATATAAAATAACAAAATACATAATGAAAATAAAAACAAGAACAACCCAAGAACCCCTAACAGGGACCAGAAAGGAATGCAAAAAAAGTGATCCCTGCCATTCTCCCATGCCTGTCTTGCAGTTTTATTTATATAACTGCTTATAAGAGTTAACCCAAAAGCTAACCCATTGGATGTTGTGTCTCAAGAGAATATTTTTAGAAAAGGCTTTGTAAGGGGCAGATCAGGCTGTTCTCTCCAAGATAAGGCTATACTGAGTTCTGATCACACTAGGTCAGTAGCAAACATCTAAATGAGATATTGCCAGGTTTGTTTGGTGGGTTCAGGGAGATGTTAGATATAAAAGGAAACATTTCCCCCAAACTCTTTTGACAAAGACTGCATAAGCAATGCAAATTGCACTCTCAAGCTACTTCATGGAAAAGCACTTTGAGGCATTTAATATAATGAGATGCATTCAACTAAGTAGTCCCATGCCTGCCAGAAGAAACCTACACAAGCACAATAAAGCTCCCCTCCCTGTTCCATGAAACTGGCTCTGGGGGTGTCAGAAGACCCCCCCCCCAGAACAGCACACAGGGGGAGAAGAGAGGAGATCATTCCACCAAGCAAGAAGAATCCGCTTAGCGCTACATTGAACCCCACCCATTAGGAACAGGCAGAAGCAGGGCAGACAAAAATGTAGAGATGTTCAGTGTTTAGTTTCATACAGTGAGGAAATAACACACAAAAAACCTCTAGGCTTCTATAGAACCCTAAATGTAAACAAGGGCCTTGTACATAAATTTGTGCAATATGTGTTGTGATCTGCCCACCATTAAAAGTATTGGGTGGGTTGCATGAACAGGGTTTGTGTAGACCATGGGTAGGTAAACTAAGGGCTGGGGGCTGGATGCGGCCCAATCGCCTTCTTAATCTGGCCTGCAGACGGTCCGGGAATCAGCGTGTATTTACATGAGTAGAATGTGTCCTTTTATTTAAAATGCATCTCTGGGTTATTTGTGGGGCGTAGGAATTCGTTCATTTTTTTCTTCAAAATATAGTCCGGCCCCCCACAAGGTCTGAGGGACAGTGGACTGGCCTCCTGCTGAAAATGTTTGCTGACCCCTGTAGACTCTACACTGTATATAGCATTTGCACAGAAAGGCTGAGTTCCCATAGAAGTTTAGAAGGGTGAGAGACAGTATATGAGCTCCAGACTTGCTTTCTCACCTTGCAACATGTATGACCCTTTGCATTAGAACTATGTGTCAATCGGCTCAGTGACTGAAACATCTAGTGATGATCTCAAACCGCAAACAAGATCAAGCAAGACCGGATTTTCCATGGAAGCCGTTTACCATTTCTGCAGGATGAATCACTAAGTGATATATGTGAATGTGCACTCCAGCCATCTCAACATCTAACCCAGCCAACTCAGGATGAAACACTGCCACTTTCCAGGCTTTTCTGATTTGTCTAATAAATCAATGCCCCTCTTTTCCTCATGGATAAAACTTAATGCTGATTGAGTTGGCCACAAGTCAGATCCCCATCCAGAAACTGCAACGCAAGATGCCAAGAATATTTTAAATAGGATTTCAGACACAGGAACATCTCACAGGAGTCCAGTGGCTAAGAGAACTAACAGTAAGTGCTTAGGATATGAATAGTTGCAGCCGCATGTCAAAATTATGATATTACACTGGAATTTCAGGAACAAAACCCCATCATCTACAGGTATGACAGATGAACATTTGAGATTTTCACACCAGTATCATTAGAGCAGGAAGTACATGAACCATGGTTACAAAATATGGTTTAGGGGAGAGGCATGTTTACTTTCAAAACCACCAGTGTACTCAAATACTGCTGGCTTTGATAGCAGCTCATAAATTGAGGAGACCTAGTGCAGCATCCTATACATATCTCCTCAGAAGGAATTCTCATTGTTCAATTGGATTTACTCTCAGAAGGTAAGTATAAAACATATTTACCATGGAGCAAGCACCAATGGGGACAGGGTGATAACCTGCGGCACATTTGCCTCCTAATGCTACAGCCAGGGCTTTGAAAAAATGAAGAACCTGAAATGAAGAACATGGGCAGATCCTTTCCTCTTCCTGAATGTTCCTTTTATAGATAACAACAACCCAATTCCAAACGTCTAGTGTCACCGGCCACAATAAATATTCAACCTGACCCTTCTGTGCAAGGCCACGCACCTTTGCACCTGCTGAGCTTATGTCTGCACACACAAAAGCTCTCCAATTTACTCCAACATGCCCACACAACTTCCCTGATGCTGCAGTTAGCCCGTACTAAATGCCAGACAATTTGTATGGAGGAATTAGCTTAAGCTATAAAAGAACCAGCAATAATTATTCCTGTGCGGCAGTTGGCGATGAAAAGGGTAATCGGTCATAACAGAAATCTGTGGCCTCAGCAAAAGAGGATTGCCTTCTAACACGGTGTCAAGAGTGCATCGGTAATGTCTGGATTTGATAGGCCAGGGCTATTTGTGTCCAGGACGGCCCTCACTCACAGGGCAATTTGTAAGCTAGCCAGCAAATGAGGCTGATACAGGAATAGCATTTGTTCCGATTCAGGACGCCGTTTTCATCTCTGCCAAGACATTGACCAGACAGTGCCAGGCTGATTTAAATTCACCTCACTGAAGGTTGGACCACAAAGAGTTGCCAAGAATTAAGAAACTAAAGAGCACTGTAGCAAACCATGAGAGCACATTTACAGCCTGCCAAAAATACCCCGAGCTGCTGAGTACAGTAATTTTCAGAATTAAACGGATGGGAAGAAGCTGTCTTTCAGGATGTTTCGAGAAGTAGCATGAGCAAACAATTACTGGGGAAGGAACGCCAACTTGCTCAGTTATGCTTTCAGAATAAACACAGCCTACCAAGCTCTCTATTGACTTCACAACTATAAAAAGCACACATCTGAGCACTCCACAGCAATTCCATAAAACGCAAAACAATTAGATTATTCATACAGAGAAGTCCTTAAAGATGGAACATGTGGCTGCAAAGGTGAACCAGGTGGCATGCTGGTTTCAAGTTAATTCAAAGAACTATTTCCCCTTGCGTTAGAATGCAACCCACAGGCCAAGAACCATTTATTTGCAGGATCAAAAGGCAGGGAGGGAGTCGTAGGAACAAAGGAAGCTGCCATATACTGAGTCAGAACATTTGCCCATCTTGCTCAGCGCTGAATAGACTAACTGGCTTGAAAACAGTACTGCATGTTTCCCTCCACTGCTCCAAATTACACACAGCACCATTTCCCTAAGAGCTTGCATCCTTGGATCCTACTTCGCTCTGCCCACCCTGATAATTTTTCCTAGCGTTCATCTTGTCAGATGAATAGGATAAATATGCTGGGATGGAATCTATCTTTGATAGCAGGTTCAGACTGATAACCAAAGTATTTCCATAAAATACAGGTTTAAGGTGCTGGTTTTAACCTTTAAAGCCCTATACGGCCTAGGACCCTCGTACCTACGGGGCCGCCTCTCCTGGTATGCCCCACAGAGAAACTTACGGTCTTCAAATAAAAACATCTTGAAGGTCCCAGGCCACAGAGAAGTTAGGCTGGCCTCAACTAGAGCCAGGGCTTTTTCGGCTGTGGCTCCGATCTGGTGGAACACTCTGTCACAAGAGACCAGGGCCCTGTGGGACTGGACATATTTCCGCAGGGCCTGCAAGACAGAGCTGTTCCAACAGGCCTTTGGCCAGGGCACAGCCTGACTCCCTCCCTCAGCAATCTTCGCGGAGCTCTGGCCCAATGGTTGCCAGTGGCTTGAATTAATTAATTTTATAATGAATGATTTTAGAGTGTTGTTTACGCTGCACTTTTGTACTCTTTTATTGTTGTTAGCCGTCCTGAGCCCGGCTTCGGCTGGGGAGGGCGGGATATAAATAAAATTTATTATTATTATTAGAGGGACAAATGACCTATTTAACAATCAGGTTGTGCAAATCATTCATTGGTGCTGGTGTGAGCGAAAGGAAGGTAGAGTTAGCACTAATTTCACAGCAAGGACAAAACTTCGGTTTTTGCATTTCCCCCAGGCAAATGAATAATACTTTCTCTTCTAACATTACTACACTAAGTTGGGTTTTAATAAAAACCCTTTAAAAATAAGTAAATGAACTTAGTGGGTTTAAAGCAAAACAAAAAGAAGTTGTTTCTCTTGACAACAATTAATATAGATGCATCTTTCTGGTGTCATCAATTGGATTTTTGAGCCCCCCCCCCTTGCCAGGTGTCAGATTTGCTCCCCTCCCCCGCTGCCTGGGGGCCAAATTCAAGGATGTTGCACCAGAATCATGTCTCCCAATTAAGCTTCTCAAGCTGCTTATGGTTTAGATACTGACACAAAATAGCCATATAGCACGGTTACTATAGCAACTTGTAGCTCAGTCAAATACTGTTACCGCAGCTCTCTGCCAATGGTGAAACCGGAGCAGAACGCTTGATATGCTAATAAAAACCACGGAGGAGAGTGAATATGAAATGAGTGAGGAAGGGAATTAGGGAAAGGCTTGAAGAAGCCTTTGTAAGTGGGGAGCGACAGCAGCTTCTCCTAGTTAATTTGCCGATGTTTTATTCTCTAAGATCTCCAGATCTGACAGCCGAAATCTTTAATCAACATATTGTTTCCTTCCTGGAAATATTTCATGACTCAAACTCTTTCAAGAGGGGAGATCCCATTGTAGTCCAGTACGTGCCGTGGGATTTATTAAAGACGTCTGGCTATGCACTTTAGACTAGGAATGCACACAACGATGCCAGAAATAATCTCTAAGATGTGACCCAAGTAAATTAAGACTAGAGTTGCTAGGTTGGAACCCAGAGATTACCACTGTAAACAGACTTTAAGTCTGATGCTGCGATAAGCTGTCAGTTGAATGTTTTCCTCAGACACAGTTGTTTTTGGTCAGACGCTTTCACAGTATAAATCAACCTCTGCCAACCTGGTATCTTGTAGAATGTTGTTGGACTACAAGTCCCATCATCCTTAATCATTGGCCATGCTGGCTGGGCACATGGGAGTTGGAGTCCCACAACATCTGGAGAGCAGTGGATTGTGGAAGGATGGCATAAGTAAACTAAGTTGCATTATGATGATATACTGGATCTGTATTTGCCTACTGTATTTCAGCTGCTTCATATGTTTGTATGGTATTCTTTCTCTAAACATCATCTCTCTGAACTTTAACTTTTTCTCTTTCAAAATGTCAGTCTTAATGTCAATCTTCATACGTATCTACAGTTCTTTCTTTTGGCATCCCTCCCCTTTCCCCAACTTCCTTACATTTCATGGCTAATTTCTAAAAAGAAGGCAGAGCTCAGATCTGCTGGGAATCTGTTCTTGTCCATCTGGGCTGGGCTGTAGCTACTCTGGGCTGCTTTGTAAGAAACACATGAATGTATATTGCAGCAAAACTATGTATTGGTACATATGTCTAATGAAGTGGACGGCTTTTCTACTGTGACGAACAAGCACTTCTGTGGATTGTCTTTGCAGAACCAGGGCCAAAGTGAATAATATAACTTTACCATCAAAGCCGAATATTGAACTACAAATTACACCGAAAGGGGCAGAATCAAATCCCAAAGGTTCCTTCCAGGGAAAGCACCTTTGGAAGCAAACCACCTTCACGGGTGAAGTACTGGAGAAAGGGGGAACTTTACCCTTTTCCCCACCACCACTTTCACACTGGAAATGTCCCCAATTGACCTCTTCCCACATGGTGTTCCAGCTGCATGTTTGCAAGGTATCCCCAGGACGTGAGTTATAACTGGATAGGGTAAGGGTTATGCACTTTCTCCCTCCCACTGTTTTTCTTTTGCCAACCCACCCCCCCTCCAAAAGCTACTTTGCCTAGAACAGGCATAGGCAAACTTTGCCCTCCAGATGTTTTGGGACTACAACTCCCATCATCCCTAGCTAACAGGACCAGTGGTCAGGGATGATGGGAGTTGTAGTCCCAAAACATCTGGAGGACCAAGTTTGCCCATTCCTGGCCCAGAAGAAGCAGAATAAGGTTTTGCTGCAATTTTCTTACATGAAGTTTGCCTTGGATTTTGGGGGCACAGGTCACAAGGGATGTATAAAACATTTCACTGCTGTTGCTGCTACTTTCCTGATTTACATCTCTGCCATTGAAATCAGCGGGGCTTATAAGTGTTTTGCTTTGTACCCAGTAGCAACCATCATTGGTTATCGTGTCATCACATAAAACACCAATCGTTAATCACATCACTTTATGTTACCTAGTTCTGGCTGGATCGCTCACGGCAGCATTTGACTTTGGAGATGTAATTGGTTCCGATGAATAGATAGTCCTGCAGAATGAAAAGGAAAAATCATTTTTTTGCAGGACCCCACACTGAAGGGTGTGAGGAACCTGTGCTCCTCCAGATATTGTTGGGCTATAATTCCCACCAACCTAGGCTGGTTGGGGCTGATAGGAGTTGGAATCCAACAACATCTGGAAGGCCAAAGGTTTTAGACGAACACACACAAAAATGTCAACATGGTAATGGCAGTAAATGCCGTCCCAGTCTCAAACATTGCTGCTACTTTTGCTGTGATGCGCAATTTGATCAGTGAAGCCAAAAGATGACAAACAGAATCATTCAGCAACCACATGCCACCACAAAGTAGACCAGTCTTCTCAATACCCTTGCAAAGTAATGGCTGTCTTTCTTTTCTTTTCTCTTTCTTTGGATAACTATGAAATAAACTATAAATAACAGGTGCTGGCCTGTACACTATTTCCAAGTTTAAAGTCTAAATACTAGAAATGAAAATACATACATCTTTGGTCCTCCTCTTTTGTTTGAAGTAGTTGAAACTCTGAAGCAACAGACAGACAGACAGACAGACCTCTGGTTAGAAATCATATATACGTTATGATTTCTATGATTATATAATGGATACTTTCCAAATTCCCTTTTCAGGCAGGGATCATCACAACATGGAGTAATTCCAGGACTGAACTGAACAGCAATGGGAATCTTGATTTCTTCTTGTGGTGCAGTCAGTCAATAGATGCAACCCAGAAACTGATACCAGGGAAGCCCTACCTTTTCTACTGTGGGGTAGTATCTCATACCCATATGGTTGCAATGCACAGAAATTATGAGTCATATCTCTGACATCCCTCAGAAAATAAGTGGTGTTTTTTTTAATTGCATCCCTGCTGGCAGTCCCTGCTGATCGTCTGTGGAAGAATGTAAGCAAATTTAACACAGAACGAAAATCTCAGGAATAAAACCCAAGCTTTGAGCATTTTTAACACTCCTATGGGGAGGAAAAGGGACGCGGGTGGCGCTGTGGGTAAAACCTCAGCGCCTAGGGCTTGCCGATCGAAAGGTCAGCGGTTCGAATCCCCGCGGCGGGGTGCGCTCCCGTCGTTCGGTCCCAGCGCCTGCCAACCTAGCAGTTCAAAAGCACCCCCAGGTGCAAGTAGATAAATAGGGACCGCTTACTGGCGGGAAGGTAAACGGCGTTCCGTGTGCTGCGCTGGCTCGCCAGAGCAGCGATGTCACGCTGGCCACGTGACCCGGACATGTCTCCGGACAGCGCTGGCCCCTGGCCTCTTGAGTGAGATGGGCGCACAACCCCAGAGTGTGTCAAGACTGGCCCATACGGGCAGGGGTACCTTTACCTTTTATGGGGAGGAAAAGGCATGCCTATAACATGGGCCTCTTGGTAGTTTCCACCGCTCTCAAAAATTTGGGTGGGGGAGCCAGGGCATTTGCTGGGTCAGCCCCCTAAATTGTGGGATTTCCTCCTCACAGAGGGAAGCAAAAGAACACACCTATTTACACAGGCAGTTGACACCTGAGATAGAGATTTTTAGGATCCACTACATTCTCTTCACTGTAGTTTGTTTTTAAATGATTTTAATATTATTATTTTTTAAAGTGCTGGAATCTTATGGTGAAAGCTGGGAAAGAAAGGAAGATAATAGAAATAGTAGTAAAAGAAATTATATTTGAGGGTATCAGAAAGTAGATGCTACTCTTCTCCATTTTGCCTGGTGGAGAATAAGTTCAGGGAAATCTTTTTCAGAGTTAGGGATGGCTGGAGTCTTATGGGTTATTTATAACATCCATTTACAAAGCATCAAGGGGGAGATGGGATGGGATGAAAACAGTAGTCAGTTTATTAAAAAGAAGAAGATTTCTATACCACCATTCACCCAAGGATCACGGGGCAGTTTACAATATAAAAGCACAAAAAATATAACATAATAACAAACAAAACCAAAGCACCCCTATTTTAAAAGGCAATAGATTGTATTATTATATTGTGTAGACAGTGTTAGGCTCAAAGAGCCTTAGCATCCACCTAGCTTACAGGTAAGGAGGATCCGTGCCTCTCTCCTTTGAATGACCTTACGTGATGAGCGTTCTTTGGTCTTGACTCAATCTCATTCAAGCCTTCTCTATTTGCACGTATCATTAATGCTCAAAGTCATTCAAAGTCCATCTATTTCATAGATGACACGGCAGCAAAGCCAGGTTTGCCACCAAATGTGCACTCAACAGTCTCCCTAAATATGCTTGAATGATCTACATGTTTGCAAACAAACATTTCATGGAATTTTACACTTGAAGAGTCGGAAGGGACCACAAGGTCCAACCCCCTGCAGGGCAGGAATCTTTTGCCCTACATGGGGCTCAAATCCACATCTCTGAGATTAAGAGTCCTATGCTCTGACTGAGACTCATTCACACCTTACATTATTAGGTAAAGGTAAAGGGACCCCTGACCATTAGGTCCAGTAGTGACCGACTCTGGGGTTGCGGCGCTCATCTCGCTCTATAGGCCGAGGGAGCCGGCGTACAGCTTCCGGGTCATGTGGCCAGCATGACTAAGCCACTTCTGGCGAACCAGAGCAGCACACAGAAACGCCATTTACCTTCCCGCCGGAGCGGTACCTATTTATCTACTTGCACTTTGATGTGCTTTCGAACTGCTAGGTTGGCAGGAGCAGGGACAGAGCAACGGGAGCTCACCCCATCGCGGGGATTTGAACCACCGACCTTCTGATCGGCAAGTCCTAGGCTCTGTGGTTTAACCCACAGCGCCACCTAGATGCACACATTTAAAAAATGAGACACATGAAAACGTAACATAAGAAGAAGTCCCGCTTTATGTTCCTTAAAAAAAGAATAATCCAATAAGCACTGTATACTTACGGTTTGTTATTGGTGGCTACAGCTGTAGTTGTATTTTGTGAGGCCCAGGAATGCCTGTGTGGTGGAACAAAAATGCTTAATTAATTTGTGTGCTGGACATGCGTATTTAAAATATGTACCCCCAGAAAAAAGCACTGCTGCTTGTGTAGCTTTTTGAAGCACATGAATCTTATTTTGGGGCAGTTTGTAACCCTGTTTAACTTACCAAACGTGTGGTCTTTTTTCTATGTCATGGGAAGAGAGAAACATTGGAATTCACTTTAAAGGGCCTATTTTAATCCACATCTCTGAGATTAAGAGTCCTATGCTCTGACTGAGACTCATTCACACCTTACATTATTAGGTAAAGGTAAAGGGACCCCTGACCGTTAGGTCCAGTAGCTGATGACTCTGGGGTTGCGGTGCTCATCTTGCTTTACTCGCCGAAGGAGCTGGCGTACAGCTTCCGGGTCATGTGGCCAGCATGACTAAGCCACTTTCTGGGAAACCAGAGCAGCACACGGAAACACTGTTTACCTTCCCGCCGGAGCAGTACCTATTTATCTACTTGCACTTTGAGGTGCTTTCGAACTGCTAGGTTGGCAGGAGCAGGGACCGAGCAACGGGAGCTCACCCCGTCGTGGGGATTCGAACCGCCGACCTTCTGATCAGCAAGCCCTAGGCTCTGTGGTTTAACCCACAGCGCGACCCGCGTCATACTACATTTAAAATTGCAGGAAAGATCTGTATGCCCCGATGAAATTAAAATGCAAAACTCCCATGATTTTTGCAAATCATAAAGGTAAAGGTAAAGGTACCCCTGCCCGTACGGGCCAGTCGTGACCGACTCTGGGGTTGCGCGCCCATCTCGCTTAAGAGGCCGGGGGCCAGCGCTGTCCGAAGACACTTCTGGGTCATGTGGCCAGCGTGACGAAGCTGCTCTGGCGAGCCGGCACCAGCGCAGCACACGGAAATGCCATTTACCTTCCCGCTATAAAGCGGTACCTATTTATATACTTGCACTTAAGGGTGCTTTCGAACTGCTAGGTGGGCAGGAGCTGGGACCGAACAACGGGAGCTCACTCCGCTGCAGGGATTCGAACCGCCGACCATACGATCGGCAAGTCCTAGGCGCTGAGGTTTTACCCTACTTTTGCAAATCATACAAACAGGTTTATTTTTCTGGAAGTGAAAAAACATGGAAATGAGCACTAAACTTCCATGAGAAAGAGGACAGAAGCAATGGTTGAGTGAATGTGGCCTGTCCCTGGGCAGATGGTGAAGAGCTCAGTTTTTTCAATAGAGGGAGATATTTTAACCATGCACTGCCAAGGTTTACAAGAATTATTCTGCTGATGTGCAGGAAAATGTTTACCCATGCTGAAAAACCATGACATGGCTATGTGGTGAACAAACCACAACACCTCAAGTGCACACACCAACAATTCACATTGAAGACTTTACTTTCAAGGTTGTGTGATTCAGTTTCTCTGTGTGCAAGCTAAAATCCTGCACAGCAACTTACTGTCAAAGGAGAAAGTGCTTGCCTAGATGAGCCATTGGACTGACTCCATGTAAGGCAGCTCCTTATATCCGTCCATAAGGGTGTAATACACATTGAGTCAACCTCAGGATAGCATTCAAAACCAGCCAAACCAAAGCCCAAACCACTTTACACCACAGCCATAAACATTTCTACTCAAATTTTCAATAAGGTTACTCCCAAGTAAATGGACAGAGGTTTAAAATTCCAACGTCTAACTGATTTCAATGGGAAAGGAAAACATGAGCTCTCTTGAAATCACACATAACCGTCAGCCAAATCATGGCTTAGCAAATGTGTGGGTTCCCACAGCAAAGATAATAGCTTTTGCTGCCAACATGCTAATTTGACCAAACCATTGTTTGGTTTCATATTACCCAGACTTGTGGTTTAGAATCCCCAAATAAACCATGAGTAGTAAAAACAAGGAGGGACGCGGGTGGCGCTGTGGGTAAAAGCCTCAGCGCCTAGAACTTGCCGATCGAAAGGTCGGCGGTTCGAATCCCCGCGGCAGGGTGCGCTCCTGCTGCTCGGTCCCAGCGCCTGCCAACCTAGCAGTTCGAAAGCACCCCCGGGTACAAGTAGATAAATAGGGACCGCTTACTGGCGGGAAGGTAAACGGCGTTTCCGTGTGCTGCGCTGGCTCGCCAGATGCAGCTTGTCACGCTGGCCACGTGACCCGGAAGTGTCTCCAGACAGCGCTGGCCCCCGGCCTCTTGAGTGAGATGGGCGCACAACCCTAGAGTCTGTCAAGACTGGCCCGTACGGGCAGGGGTACCTTTACCTTTACCTTTTATGGTTTGGCTTAGGTGCACATGCAGTCTGGGTTACTAGGGTTACTTTGGGTTACTTTGCCTGGATCTTACTCAAGATATGTATTTTATTTAATTTGACATTTTTATGCCACAGTGTTTAGCTACCCAGAGGCTCTCATCATGGCAGACAAGCTTAGAATATTTCAGGATGCAATTCTGAACAGAATTAATAGGAAGTAAACCTCCATGAATATAATGGGTCTTTCTTTTGAGCAAAGATGTATAGGATTACACTGTCACAGATTTTTTCAAGTTTGTATCTAAAATTAGAACAATGATGTGGGCTAGATATTCCTCAAAAACTCAACCAAAGCTGTCAACATAACAACCAAAGAGAAATTCTTTTGAAGCATTTCCTAACATTTGAGAGCTGAACATAACTTGGATAAAATTCAAATTCTTACCTTTTGTGTTGTTCATCGTCTACGGTGACCTTCTGACTGGAGACTGGGGGAGGCATCCATGACTGCCTAATAATGCACAACCATATAGTTCATTTTACATGCCTTTTGTATTTGGACCCAAAGTCTAAGAAGTTTATGCTGCCTGTTATCAACTTAAATCCCATTGTTTAAATCCTAATTAAAATTAAGCACTCAACTGTGGCTTGATCTTGACTATAGTGATGTTCATTAATACGAACTGCAAAGCTGTCACTGTATAATTCCGCATTTTTGTCTCCCCACTGAGAATTGCTGGGAATAAATTTATTTTTTGATGTGTCTAATGTTTCCTATCCTAGGAATAAGGCTGCCACTTCTCTTAAGAACAGAGGAAACCCCGTAGCTATTGCTTGTTTGTGTATGCAGAGATTCCTAGAATGACTTTCCCATCCTTTGCCTGCAGAAGATTTTAGGTTCAATCCTGGATAACTTCAGATGGCAAGAGTGGGAAAGAACATACCGTAGTTATAATTTTCCTGCAAATGGAAGCAGCTACTAATCACATTCTCACCTCCAGGAGGAAAAAAAACACACCTTTCAAACTATAAAATACGTAAAAGACTATCTACCCTATGCCTGTCATATGAAATAAAATATGTGTTACTAACTCAAATCAGCCTGGATCTATCCTTGGATGTAAGAGGGTCCCATTATCTCCCATCCCCCATGTTTTACAAGATCCGTAAAAACATTTGCCAAGTATAGAGTAGCATAGGGAGCAACACTATTGAGTCACTACTACAGTGGTACCTCAGGTTAAGTACTTAATTCGTTCCGGAGGTCCGTACTTAACCTGAAACTGTTCTTAACCTGAAGCACCACTTTAGCTAATGGGGCCTCCTGCTGCTGCCGCGCCGCCAGAGCACGATTTCTGTTCTCATCCTGAAGCAAAGTTCTTAACCTGAAGCACTATTTCTGGGTTAGCGGAGTCTGTAACCTGAAGCGTATGTAACCTGAAGCATATGCAACCCGAGGTACCACTGTACTTAGTCTCACTGAGGTTTCCTCAGTGTAAGTGCTCTTCAAATCCATCTTTTACTTGTATGTTTCACTTAAATTTCTCTTTTAAAGGATGAGCAGAGCAGTCCTAATGAGGGGTTGAGGAGGCACAGATTTGCCACAGCACCCAAAGTCCTGCCAGTTCCTGCTGAAAGGTGGGTGGAGGAGCCATTTCTTTTCCTCCTACTTTAGCTCCAGACTGGTGCAGCTGAAAGGCCTGAGGACTAGACCCTTCATGGGATATGTGGGTCTTCAAATCTGGCTGATCCAAAGCCTCTGGTGCCCTGCTGCTTCCCCCAATATCCTTTCTGCTGGTTATCGTCAATGGGAGAACCGCTGGTGGAAGCTTGGGACTTCTGCCATAACACAGGTCTCCCACAGCGATTTTCTACTGTGTTGGTGAAGGTTGGCAAACCAGCAACAGTACACCATCCTAACCCCTTCCCCAAGACATCAACATCAGGGGATTATGAGGGCTCCACTCTCAGTTGGAGTAATTATTAGAATCAATTTCTATATTAGATAGATGGCTTTTGCGAAAACGTTGATATCTACAGTAAAAATGAAGAAGGTCTTGAATACCTTTTCTTCTTCACAGGCGATGTGGCGTTGCCAGTGTTGATAGATGCATCCAGCTCCTTCCTGGAAAAATTATCAACCAAAGTTTAAAGTTTTGTCGTTTCAGTTAACCATACATAAGGATAACTACTTTTTCAATGGTTAGAGACGACAAACTGTGTTTAATCAAAAACAGAAGTACTGTAAAGGTTGTTGTTGTTTTTCACTTTTTACTCCTCACATCTGCACTAAAAGAGGAGAGGGGGTGGACTGCTTGCTTGGGCTTCTAACAATAAACCATTTGATCTGAATGAGGCCACTGTGGTTTGTGTACAAAGCACTGACAAGTGATGCTTAGAATCAAGAGTTGTTGCTCTTACACAAGGTGTGATTCACCCTTAAGGCTTCCTCCATGGCCAGCTCCAATGGTATATCAATAACTTCTGAAGCTCTGTATCCTAGATCTACAGCAAAGTACGTGATCTGCTAGGTCCCACACCAGCACCAGTGGCTCCCAGGAAGGAAGGATTCCTATAGAGATCCACCCACTTGATTTGTACTAAACCTGAGGTGCACCCTAAACGGATGACTATGAAGCATGGCTTACACATACCTGCTACTTGGCTTGCCATCCATGGTGGAAAGCTTATTTGCTTTGTCAGCATCACTGTTGCCAGGAATCCTAAAAAAATAGCAAAACGAGCTTTCACCAACAGTAGAAATTAGCTTTTCTTAAAAAAAGAAAAAGATTGCCTGAATTAAAATGTCAACATCTAATATTTCCTAGCAAGGCAGAAAATCTTCCCGTAGCTTCTGCACACACTTCTACAGTGATAATGAGACCAGCATACTAGCTGACTCAATATAACGTTCGTGCTTATTAGTTTTAAAAAGTTTTTCGGCTTGCTGAAAGAGTATTTTAATTAAGTCTTAGAAAACCAATGAATTATTAAATGTCCAGAGATTATTACACGCTCTTTTTTAAACGAGTAGTGAAAAGCAGCAAATCCTTTGAGAAGCCCCTTAATAAAGAACTAAAATGCATCTTCAGTCGAAACAGCTCATTGTCACTCCCTATATATTGCTGCTCACCCCCCACCATCAAGTGTTTCCGGAGATCAATATGATTTGAAGTTGCCCATTGTGTATAATTCCTTGTGGAGCGCAGCCATTGCATCAAACCAAGGCGGCCAGGGTAGCTGTGCTTCCCATTGATTTCATTAAGCCATTAGATTTACATTAAAGAAAAAGCACAAGCCCTTTCCTGGCCTTTATGGATTTCAAAGTCACTGCTGGAAAACCTTTTCCTGACTTCCACTTAAATGGAAGGCTCCTGCTGTCGGAGCTGAATTAACCATTTAAGGTATCAATGCCGTTTATATCTGCCACAAAGTGGTACTTCTGAATGATCTCATGCTGAAGACTGAGCAACATGGAGGCAATGCAACAGATCTGGGGATATATTGGGGCTCACAAAACAATTGTTGTGCTACAAAAGCGTAAGCTGAGTGAGCATTTTGAATCCTATGAGCGTTGGACCCATGAAGCAGGATTTTACTCAAAAAGGCCTTTTATTTGACTGTTATGCCGCCATATGAGTTTGAGGAATTTCAGAAACACAACTCCAGCGAAAGGGAGGCATGCTGTTGTTATAATGTGGTAGACTGGGGGCAGTTATGATTCCTTGTACTTCTACACGTAGGCAATATCCCGTGGTTTTCTCTATGTCACTTCTTCCTACAGTTCTGTAAGGTAGAGGAGGTTGCTGCACCTAGCTGAGGAAACCTAGCTGATGTTTCATCATCAGCAAACACATGACCACATCTCTCCTGTGAGAAAATGCTTGCTGTGAAGGCAGCAGGCTGGTTTTGAGGAGGAATATCCTTAAGAAAAGTCCTGGGGGTTGTTACAAGACACACAGGAATCTCAAAGATCTCTGGAATTCACAAGAGCTCTGTAATTTACCATCTTGCCCATCATCTAGTTATATATGATGTGCCCATAGACAGTGTGAAAGCAATAAACTAAAGGGCAATCTGAGCTGGTCTTTGTAATATGATTTTACTGTATCCAGGGTAGAATTTGCTGCAGAAACTAGTGGTTATCAATTGACTCACTCAATGTCTTATTATGATTATGACTATATGCTGAAATTTCACTGTCTATAACGAACCAACCAAGGGTATCCAACTCATTCAACTTTCTCTTTTCAAACAGGCTTTTATTAAAGGCTGAGCTACATGTTACCACAGGGCCATCCCACTGAAGCAAAATGAGACGATTGCCTCAGGTGACGGACATGGGAGAAGAGCAACATGGTGTCTTCCTGCCCCCCCTTCCTTCACGCCAAAATAGATCTCTGTGGAAATTTTATGAGGCTAATCTCCTCCAACCTGCCTCAGTCTGAGAACGGGCTTTGAGGGGGGTCCATCTTCAGAGCAAGGCATGCCGGCCCTTGCTGTGGTAGCTAGAAGTTCTGCTGAGGTGAAAATCTAAAGTCAAAAGATGGCTCTCGCCCAGCCGAATGCCTCACTCGGAGGAAGGACCCTCTTGGCGCTTTTGCAGAGTGAGGTAGGGAGTACAGGAAGGGGAAGGGGAAGTGCAATGGCAACAGTGGATGAGAGGAGGTGGCTCCTGTTACACACCTCAGGCAGAATGGCCCTGTGTTACAATAAGTATAGAGATATTACTAAAAAAAGGCAGCCCCATGCCAGGTTCTCTGCTAATATGTACAGTCGTACCTCAGAAGTCGAACAGAATCCGTTCCGGAAGTCCATTCAACTTCCAAAATGTTCAGAAACCAAAGCGCGGCTTCCGATTGGCTGCAGGAAGCTCCTGCAGCCAATCGGAAGCCCCGGCGGACATTTGGGTTCCAAAGAACATTCGCAAAGCAGAACAATCACTTCCAGGTTTGCGGCGTTCGGGAGCGAAAACGTTTGACTCTCAAGGCATTCGAGGTCCAAGGTACGACTGTATTATATACTGCTCTGTGTCTGGAGTATTTTACGATACTGTATATTTATGGTTATTATTAATATCATCATTAATTTATTAATCGGAGGGCCACAACAGCTTTGTGGGGGACCCATGGGAGCAGTCAGTATTTATTCAAATTAATTTTAAAATTAAATTAATTAACAAATAAAATTGGGGGAGCCCCCCCCCAAAAAAATACATTTTAGCGTTATGACTCATAGTGGGGGACCCATAAGAACAGTCAATTTATGACAACTTTGGGGAAACTCACTTAGGGGGCCATATGCAACCCACAGGTTAGCCACCTCTGCTGAATTAAAATTCACAAAGATTGAATTCCACTAGCATTGCTAGGTGGGAAAGTCCCATTCCAAGAGGAGAACAGATGTTAGGATCCAAGCCAAAGCGTCTCTTAAGACAAGAATGGGAAACCTGTGCCTCTGCAGACGCTGCAGAACTCCAAATCACAGCAGCCTCAGCTAGCCAGGCCAGTAGTCAGGGGTGATGGGAGTTGTGGCCAGAAACATCTGAAAGGCCACAGGTTCCCCTTCACTGTCTTAAGGCAGATATTCAATTTAATTATCAAATGTGTACTCCACCCTTCTTCAAGAGAGCTCTGGATACATAAAATGATATCATTTTATTCTTGTGAGGTAGGTTAGGCTATGTGACAGCAACTTTGTAAAGGCAACTTGATGAGTTTCATGGCTGAATGGGGAAGACTGAATCCAGGTCTCATCTATCCACAACACTATTTGTTACACCAAACCACAGTCTCCCCACAACACAGTAATAACATCTGAATCACATTATAAGCGTAGCAGGATTTTGTAGCCGGGTACAAAAGCCCGAGAGCATCCAAACTTTATAATACAAAACAATAAAGCCAACTATATAAAACTCTTACCTGTCTAAAGTTGTATCGGATCTATATCGGCTAAGCAAAGCTTTTTGATCATCCTTTTCATCGGTGCTCCTGACATTAAGAAAGATTAATTAATTATAGTAACTGAGGGTTAGTAATGACTTTAAAGAAAATTTTCAGTCACTAAAGTATCCAAATTAGATCTGTCAGATGATTAACCTCTGCAATTTTACAAATGATCTTTTGAGATAAGAAATAAATTGAAATATTCCAATATCGCAGTTGAGGTGATCATTTCAAGATACTTAATAAATATTTCGATTTTCTTGACTAAATTGAACAGAAAAAATGTTGAGAAATTATCTTCACACTTCCAGAGAATCTAGTATCATGTGAATACATGGCAATATCCTCAATAGTCAATATCCTTTCACAGCTGTCTTGTCCAATTTAACGTGGGTCTATCTCTTCAAGAGTTTGTTGGAGTTATCACATATTACAAATCCATTTTCCATCTTCTCATTTTTAAAAGCAGTGGATGAGAGGAGATGGATGGGTAGATCCAGCACATTTTTAACTTGAAATGTAGAATTCTGTCACTAATATATGTAATTTGCAAGGGGAATATTGCATTGCAGTCAAAGACATAGACTTTGCTGAACCAATAAAGCCAATTCTTCAGATGTTAGTCTCCAACTCCTATCAGTCCCAAGCAGCATTGCCAATGATCAGGACTGATGTGAGTTACAACAACACCTAGAAGATCTCAAGTTCCTCAGCCCTGCTATAGGTTATTAATGGGAACAAACAACCATAGCTTGCATATATTTCCATAGTTGGGAAAAAGTGGAGGAAACTTATAGAGATTAACAGGCTACTGTACCTGTGTAAACCATCTTGTGATTTGTATTGATTAAGGACCACTCTGCCATAGTTTTCATCAGCGCTGCAATAAACCAAATATTTCATATTATTTTCATTTATATAGTGCCTATAAACTAATGATGATGTCTGAAGGCCCCGTTCAAGGAAGTGTGTCAATGTAGGAAGAGGCTGACAAAGGAAAAATACTCAAGGGGCTATACACTTTTCTACTGATTCTACTTCTAAATGTAGCATATATTGGTAATGTAATCAGATAAAAGCCCTGGGCAGCTGTTCAGATGCACCTCCTCATTTTTACACGATGATTTATGAATGAGTGTGGATCCTTTCTGGTCCATAAATTGCTATAAACCTTTCACCAAGACACACACACACACACACACACACACACACACACACACACTGAAGCTACAGCATATGAACATACACTCAGCTTTTATATAGCTATCCATATGATTTCTTGGAAGTTATAATTCTGAAGCTACAATGCACAAATCATGGAGCTATCGAGCTTTCTTGAGTTTCAAGTTATTAACGTAATACAAATAAATGAATTCTGTTGCCAGAGCACAAAAGATTGATTCTTATAATGGAGTTAAAGCTTTCATCTTGAGTTAAATATGGAAGGACCCAATGCCAACATGTGTGACAAAGTTCACATACTTTAATCATCAGGCTTTGTTTGCTGAACTTTTCCCTTGCTCTACAGATAACTCTTCTGCAAAATACTGTTTGATTCCTTTCAGCCCTCACCTTCTGGATATTATAAACTAGATCAGGCATAGGCAAACTCGGCCCTCCAGATATTTTGGGACTACAACTCCCATCATCCCTGATCACTGGTCCTATTAGCTAGGGATGGTGGGAGTTGCAGTCCCAAAATATCTGGAGGGCCGAGTTTGCCTATGCCTGAACTAGATGGCCATAAATCCTATTCTTCCATTACGAAAGCAAAACCAGTAATTTTTGAACTTTCAAAACTTGAGGGAACCCCTTCCAGTCAGATTTGTTGGTCAAAAGAGTTCTGCACATCTGCCCTAGAACTCCTGCATCTACAATGTCCAGATTTGGAGTACATGGGTCAGTCTGTTTCTAGTCTCTGTTGGTTTTACATGTGGTCATTTATAAATCCATTCCACCTCATTTTCACATTAATTGCAAATCTGTGCTATCACAAAATACTCATTTAAATATGTATTATTTCAATGAATGCATTACAAAACATATACATGTGCAATACTCCCCCTTTTGGTAATTTTTTTGAGCTAAGAAACTTTGGAAAAGTGCAAAATCTGAAGGATAATTAGCTTCTAATCCATGTATTTGCCTGGGAGGTGTGAATTATGGTAGGTCAGTTTGCTTAAAAACGAGTATGGAACAAAATTCTGTTGCAGATTTGAGAGACAACAAAGGTGATCATTTCAAGATATTTTAAAAATATTTTGATTCTGTTGACTAAATTTAGCAGTTGCGTCAAAGCAGGAATTTCAGCAGTTGTTGATTATAATATTGTAGCTGTAGTCTATATGTGCAGAGCAGAGAATTCTGGGTGTATACTGTCCATAGTCAGTTCATGCAAAGTATTGACCAGGATATTTCGACCTCACCATTACACTATGTTTACAGAGAATGTGCTTTAGAATATGGGTAATTGTGAGCTAGCCATCTTTCAGGTAAGCTTGTTTGTCTGTACTGATCATTAAGGAATGCCTGGAGAATCTATGAGGCACCCCAGGGTTCCCCGGAACACAGTTTGAAATGCACAGAGTTAGATTCACCATTGGATATGCAATAGATTGGATGTAACAGATGTTGACTGGACAAAGGAGACTTTACAGATGCATCCCAGACCTCTCCTACTTTTACTGTTTTGTTTTAAGTGTTAAGTGCCCTGCCACTTGGAGTGAAACTCTGACATCTGCATGCCTTGGCAATATGCTACATACTATAAGCTTTCTCTAAAGCATTTTTAATCTTTCTATCTCTTGTGCTACCTGTGTTTAATTTAAACATCTCCTGCAGTACTTTGATCTTATCCTTTGATCTGCAGCGCCTAGCCCTGGGAGAAGTTTTATTAAGGTTACACATAAAACCACAGACACACACGCCTTAGTGGCCTGCCTTCCATCTCTCCTCTCTCTGAAGCTGATGGCTGCACCAAGAGCTGCAAGCACAGGCAAGCGTCTCAGAAGAAGCAAACTGGCTGCCCAACTACTGTAGCAGCCAACTCCTTTCTGTGTCGTTTAGCAAGAACTTGTTGGTTTGGGGCAGGGATGGGCAACCAGTGACCAACATTCAGGAAAAGTGAGGACTGCAGTCCAACAACATCTGGCAGGCCACAGGTTCCCCATTCTTGGTCTAGGGCCAAGATTCAAAGAGCCCATACAACCGAGGAAAAGGTGGGCTGGTAGACAAATTCATGGAGCATCAATCCAGTAGTGGTTATTAAACATCATTGATCATTAGAAACTCCTTTTCAGAGGCAGGATGCCATGGACTGGTTGGAAGCAGAGGAATGGTGGGAGGCACTAGCTGGGGAACAGCCAAGGTGTGATGGCCTGGGATTTGGACTCAGAGGCTGAACCTAAGGAATCCCAGCCTGCACAGGAGTTCCCGCCTCCAGAACCAGCTGAGCCGGGGCTGGGGCATGAGCCTGAAGGGTCCTCACCTGTGCTGGATCCTCAGGTGCAGGCACCAGCTGAGTCTGCTCTGGATCCTGAAGTGATGGAGGACTCGTTGCCTGCAGGTGCTCCACTCGCAGCCCCGTCAGGGGAAGCTCAGGTTGCCTCTGGGTCTGGTAACCCTTCAGCCTCTCCTGAGCTGCAGAGGCTCAGGGCAGAGAGGCGGAGGGAACTAAGTTCCTGCAGGAGGAGTGCTCGCCTCCAGGCCAGGAGAGGCGAGTCACCTGTGGACCGGGGCCACCCTATGCCCTAGGGCAGATAAAAGCCAGCCAGCCCCAGTCCCAGGTTGCGGGAGCAACATTGTTGGTAGCCCGTTCCTGCCTGCACCCTGTCCTGCTCTTCTGCCAGAGTTCCTGACCTCACCCGACTCCCTGCCTCGGACCCCGCTTCAGCTTTGATGGACAACCTCCTTGACCTTGGACTGGACATGGACCTCACCGCACGGTTAACCCTCGGGACCAACACACAAGGGAAGAAGGCTTCAGATTGGGGGTGGGATGATGGTGAGTGATCAGAGGGAGAAGAGAGGCTGGGAGGAGGAGATGTTGGAAGCCAAAGAGGTAACAGGTTTTAGTGAGCAGGGAGAATCTGTGGCAGAGAGGAGTGCAGAGGCAGAAACAGGAGAGGAGGGAAGTCAAGAGGCAGAGATGAATCAGGCTGGTGAAGAAGCCAGGGTGTCTCCCACTCCTGCTGCGACAAGCTCCCCTCCTCCCTGGTCTCCCAGGACCAGGAGAGTCATGAAGTAGGCGCAAAGGCAGGCATGCAGGTGCAGTCTCAAATTGCTTGGGGAAAACCCTGGACAGGAGGAGACTTAGGCAGCTGGGGGAAGGCAGAGTCCTTCAGTTTCCACAACTGCCTCATAGTGGCAAGACCTACCGAGAAGAGTAGCTGTGCCTTTCGAGGACTACAAAACATGAAGTTTGTCCACGGCAAGCCTCTTGGCAGGCCACAATACCAAGCTACTGGGCCATGTTTGGAGTAGCAGATCACAACAAGATAAAAGCCAAAATGTGTCCCCCCCCCCTTACTTTTCCTCCTCGGGTCTTTTCTTTATCCAGCTGTTATCTTGTAACAGAGTCCTCTTCTTGTTGACCTCATTAATAACTTGTTGTCTACTCTTCATTGCAATGGAAGCATTCTTCGTATCTATTAGTGCACAGGCAAGAAAATTAGAAATTACATAACAAATGTAATTTTTGATCAAATATTTGCATTGTTCACTTTGCAGATTTCATTGATGTGTGCTATAGCTTCTAATAAAACATCTACCTTAAAATAGTAATTAAGAGGAGGAGTGTGAGACTTGGAAAGTTCCCAGATAATAGTTGTGTGCATGTCACACAACTATTAACTATTTTGCTAGAAATACCTACAGTGCAACCCTGAACATTTCTACTGAGACACAAGCTCCATTGAGTTCAGTGAGATTTTCTACCAGGCAGGTTTGCATGGGATTAGAGCCTGCTGAGTGTGAAATCTCTTGCCACACTATACCAGGGTTCGCCCTAAGGATGAAGTCCTATAGGCTTAGCATGTTGATCAACATCATGATGTTATCTTTCCAATGCATAATTAAAAACAACAACTCAATTTTCAGTAAACCTTTTTTTCATTGTCTTCCTCCATAAATGCTTCCAAGCAGGGTGGAATTCAATGTCAAGCCATGACAAAATTATATCTGTGCAAGCATTTCGATTTGGCTAATGGGATTTTGCCCCTTTTCCTCCCCCTCCCATGCACTGTTCTGGGGGCTCTGCCAGCCCCCCCTTAGGACCAACTGGGGAGCATGGGGGTGTGGGGAGAGGAAGAAGAAAGCCGCATGGCACAAGTGGAAGTACTTGCACATGGCTTCCATTTATGGGGCCCATTAGGTCAGGGGTCTGCAACCCGTGGCTCCGGAGCCGCATGTGGCTCTTTTACACCTTTGCCACGGCTCCGGGGTGGATACTAGCGAGGGGAGGAGGCGCATTGTGCGCCCCGACACTCCCCACTGTGGCGGGCGCTGTACTGGCTGTGACGTCGCATGGGGGCGGTGCGTGCGTTAGTCACGCACCGTCCCGACGTCACCTTCCCGGTTTTGCGGCTCCCAGGTTTTTTTCCCCTTTGGAAACGGGTCCAAGTGGCTCTTTTTGTCTTAAAGGTTGCAGACCCCTGCATTAGGTGAATCCCATCCAAAGTGCCATACAACATAATACAAAAATAATAATCAATATAAAACTTTTAAAAAAACCCTATAAACACATCCCATCCAATATAAGAGGCCACCATATCTAAAACTCTCCAAATTCATCTTATTATTTACTGCAGGTCTACTCAGAAGTAAATCTCGCTGAGTACAATGGAGCTTACTTCCAGTTAACTGTGTAAAAGGACTGTACTCAAAGTCTGTTCACACACTTGTCATATTCCTTGAAACCTCTCTGAGCTAGTTCCCCCGCCCCACCATAAGATTTTATTAAAGCTGTAATGAAAGCTAAACCTCTCTGAGTAGAAACATTTGCTTTCTTCCAGTTTGCAGCTCTGCACAAATGTACTGTTGTCAGCAAAAGCTCGATATTCAGTACATTTTATTATATTTTATTGCTATGGCTAGTGGCTGATGCAAATAAAGATTCTTTTGCTTTTGCGTGATAGAACTTTTAAAAATTATTATATTGCATTTGTGAGGTGCTTCTGGCTGAATGGAAGATATTGACAGCACAATCTTATGCATTTTTACTAAAAAATGTGTTCAGTGGGACTTCTAGATCCCCTTGTAGAGGAGTAGCGGCAGCCATCTCAGCTGATCTCAAGACCAGTTTGAAACTCAAACTGGGACCTCATAGCATAACCAAAAAACAGACAAACAACAAGGGTTAATCAGCATGTAGTTAAATTTGAAGTACAGCTGACACAAAATGCAAAGGGCTGGAAGACGTTTTGCCAATCTGTTGGTTTGACATTTTAAAAAGAGGGGGCTATGTTATTCCCCCCCAACCCCTTGACTAACTCAACAGAAGCAGAACAGAAAGAGTGCTAGCACATTACCACTTTTGTTAGGGGCTGATTTTCCTACAGTGAAGGTTGTCATTTTGTTCAGAGGTGTTTTCTTTACGGTGCACTGAAAGAAAGTAAAAATACGAGAGATTAAGTATGGGGTGGTGGGAGGGTGGGAGGAGACCCAATCTGGCAAAAGAGATAAATGGCAGGCTAAAATAATGAGCCCACAACTCTTCCTCAGCCTCACTTTCCAGATGCCAGCTTTCATATAACTGAACATAAGAAGAATCCTGATGGGTGAGACTATTTAGCCAAGTATCCTGTTTCCCACAATGGCCAATTGGCCAATAGCCCTTTCCTGTTGTTGCTCCAAGCAGCTGATATTCAGTGGGATATTGTCTCTGATTCAAACCTGGAGTTACACATAGACATTTTGACTAGCCACAACCCAATACAACTCAAGCAAGGACCCAAGTCCTCACTTAAGCTGTCAATTCACACAGGCCTCAGATACAAGAATATGAATGGGCTCTTTGCTTCTCTGAGATGTGGAGGAATAGGAGAGACTCCTTTTCACCAACATACAGAGCAGTCAGCTGCTGAAAGAGAGGTTTCGATATTGGCTTGCTGATATTTCCTCTTCAGACAGGAGGCAGGAACAGCTGTCCACCCTCCTCAGCAGCTTCTGTTGTCTTTTAAAGCTGGTATTCCTTATTTGCTCTGCTTTACACTAGTCAGCAGAGACCCTCTGCTTTCTGATTCCTGACCACACAACTAAACAAGCACTTAGGAGCTTCTATGCCTTATGCATGACCACCGCTAACTAAAAGTCTGGTGGCAATTTTTAGAAAGGGAAAGAAGGGAAGGAGCGAAAGTATCAAATTAAATAAATAAATTAAATAAATAGGAGTCTTGGTTGACCACAAACTTGACATGAGCCAACAGTGTGACGCGGCAGCTAAAAAAGCCAATGCAATTCTGGGCTGCATCAATAGGAGTATAGCATCTAGATCAAGGGAAGTAATAGTGCCACTCTATTTTGCTCTGGTCAGACCTCACCTGGAGTACTGTGTCCAGTTCTGGGCACCACAGTTCAAGAAGGACACTGACAAACTGGAACGTGTCCAGAGGAGGGCAACCAAAATGGTCAAAGGCCTGGAAACGATGCCTTATGAGGAACGGCTAAGGGAGCTGGGCATGTTTAGCCTGGAGAAGAGGAGGTTAAGGGGTGATATGATAGCCATGTTCAAATATATAAAAGGATGTCATATAGAGGAGGGAGAAATGTTGTTTTCTGCTGCTTCAGAGAAGCGGACACGGAGCAATGGATCCAAACTACAAGAAAGAAGATTCCACCTAAACATTAGGAAGAACTTCCTGACAGTAAGAGCTGTTCGACAGTGGAATTTGCTGCCAAGGAGTGTGGTGGAGTCTCCTTCTTTGGAGGTCTTTAAGCAGAGGCTTGACAACCATATGTCAGGAGTGCTCTGATGGTGTTTCCTGCTTGGCAGGGGGTTGGACTCGATGGCCCTTGTGGTCTGTTCCAACTCTATGATTCTATGATTCTATGAAATAATGGTTGGCTTCAACTTCTCTCCAACTGGCTGGGTACATGTAAGTTTTGGTACTAATGACAAAACCAAACCAGTTTTTTAGATACAATAAATGACTGTGCCATAGAACAAGGACAAAAACAGGAGAAGAGAGAATATATTCAACGTAATCATTCACACACTGTGACTGCAACATTATTAAATTTAAAATCAAGTGCTACTTTCCACTTGGGCAGATGAGGCTCATTAACCTGGGAAGGTAGTGTTAAGTTGTGGGTGAACATATCAGACGACACAGCGATTCTTCAAACAGCTCTTGTTTATTCACAGGCCAGAACAGAACTGAACTGAAGGGTTCAGCCAACCTGGTTATATAGAGCTCCAGTACAAAAGCAGCAGCAACAACTTTCTGTAACATCCAATCACTGAACGTCACTTTCAATCCCTTATTTAAATATGAGGACCTGAGTGAAAACTATCTACAGTATCCCCCTGCTGGCCCAGGGTGAGAACTTCAGTACATAACAGGTAGCCCACCTAGGAGAAGGCAAACTCTGATCCTAAACCTCTACAGTGGTACCTTGGTTTACGAACTTAATCCGTTCTGGAAGTCTGTTCTTAAACCAAAGCATTCTTAAACCAAGGCGTGCTTTCCCATAGCAGCGGGGGACTCAATTTACAAATGGAACACACTCAACAGGAAGCGGAACATGTTCTGCTTCCAAGGCAAAGTTCACAAACCAAAACACCTACTTCCGGGTTTGCAGCATTCTTAATCCAAGTTGTTCATAAACTAAGCTGTTCTTAAACCAAGTTACCACTGTACTGCCTTGCAGGACATATTCGGTAGAAGAAACAGCTAAGGGGCAAACCCTACACAAATCTGGAGTGGAGTCCCTAAGACAGTTGCATAGTGCCAAGTTCTCCACAGGAAACAAAGCAAATGCCAGTACAGTGGTACCTCGGATTAAGTACTTAATTCGTTCCAGAGGTCTGTACTTAACCTGAAACTGTTCTTAACCTGAAGCACCACTTTAGCTAATGGGGCCTCCCGCTGCTGCCGGGCCACCGGAGCACGATTTCTGTTCTCATCCTGAAGCAAAGTTCTTAACCCGAGGTACTATTTCTGGGTTAGCGGAGTCTGTAACCTGAAGCATATGTAACCTGAAGCGTATGTAACCTGTGGTACCACTGTACACTGATCAGAAGGTGCCGCACAACACCATGTTTTACGCTCCATTCCCAGGGTGTCCTGCAGGAAGATAAAGGGGCACGAGAGATAGACTCTTCCACCAGTTCCAAGTGATTCTAGTTGATTCTTTTTTCAAAAGAAAGGAGAAAGTTTAAATTGTTTGCTATCACCAGTATTGTAACAACCGAGGCATTGAACAACAGGCCTGAACAATTGTGACTCGTCAAGCTGACTGCAGATCATCAACCTATGGGAGAACAATACATCTCCTGTTTTTAATGCTTGCTGGAGAATGTGACACCAAGGCTATTTCTGAGCATCTAGCAGCGCACCCAGGTCAGTAGGTAGCAACTGGCTTGGTGGATCACAGATTGTTCAGGCCCTTTCAAACAAGTATTTCATAAAGGACTCTGAAAACAGTATCAGACTGTGGCCAAAAACCTTGGTCCTGCCACACCTATTAATTCACACCTGTCTGCATAAGCTTCAGAATTCTACTTGTTGATCATGAAAATGCTAGCAACACCCTTGCCCTTTCAATTTATGTCAAATTCATTGGCGAAGTGCAACACGCAGAACATATGACGGGGAGCTTTTCTTCTCACCCAACAACAACAAAAATGTTCAAGCCTTCTGTAAGAAATTGTTTCGAAATGCTCACTGGGCATTAAGCCAACACGGAGTATTTCCTAGTAACCACTCTTTTAATACTATCAGATAAGCTTTGTTGGGGACGGGGTGGGATAGTTGATTTTTGGCTTCAGGTTTATGTTGTTTCAGTAGCTACTGCCATTCCAAAGAAAGGCTATACCAAAGTGTGCTTGATCAATTTAAAAGCAACAAGAAAGGTGCTGAATGCTCATTGTGGCTGCTTTTTATTTTTTCCATGCTATCTGAATTAGAGGAATTTTGTTTTTATAAGCATTCGACCCTGGCAAAGCTTTCATTGCAAGACTCCAGCTTCACAGACTGTTGACACTCTTTGGTGTGCCAACTTATAAATTAAAGGCTCCATGTTGCGAATTTGGACTTCATTTTGCATTTGCATTTCGCTTTTGGTGTTTAGGAGTCTCTTCCAGAATTGTTAATGCTGTCATGCCTGTGCTGTTGTTTAATATTTTTTTTCCTGGGGAGCCAGTCCTTTAAAAATGATCACTCTGTGCTGCTTTTAAATGTTTGCAATGTGGTACTGCTGTGGTACACTACCCTGATATTTTATGAAGTCTCATTATGTAAATACTTTTCTAAAGGAAGGAAGGAAGGAAGGACATTCTTGTCAACTTTATAAACCTCCCAAAGCGATATCAAGTGTGTGAAGAGGCAAACAATCAGCTCCCACAACCCCAAATTCCCTCCCTAGTTATTGCTTTGCTTGCTCTGGACCACAGTGCAAGCATTTTACTCACTTTTGCCCTGTTTTCAAACCTTTCTAGTATACAGGACATCTTAAACAATGCATGCTACCAATTTCAGTTTTCAAGCCAGCGTTTGGTATATACCGTATTTTTCGCCCCATAGGACGCACTTTTCCCCCTCCAAAAATGAAGGGGAAATGTGTGTGCGTCCTATGGGGCGAATGCAGGCTTTCCCGGGCTTCCTGCAGCTCTGCGCCACCCTCCGGATCCCGGCGCGAAGCCGCGCGGGGCTCCGGAGGGGAGCACAGAGCTGCCTGCATTCCGAAGCCTGGTGCACGCTGAAGAGCGCGCCCGGGCTTCGCGCACCTCTCCGCAAGCCTGGGGAGACCGGCATGGCTCCCTAGGCTTGCGGATAGCAAGCTGTTCTGGGGGCTGGGGTCGGGGGAAGCTCGGGCTTCCCCCGCGCCTGCCCCGTGCCTGGGGAGTAATTTTTTTTTTCTTTATCCCCCCCCCCAAAATTAGGTGCGTCCTATGGGGCGGTGCGTCCTATGGGGCGAAAAATACGGTAATTCCCCTTGACTTGTCTGGGTGTTTTAAAACAAATGGGGAGGGGTGAGGGAAGCAAAAATAATGACACCCTCCCCCCAATTGCTTTGATAATTTTAGTGACTAAAGTTGAAACAAACAAAAAACCCATTTCCTTCTCACTTGCTCTTATTTTAATTTCCCCAAAGGACACCCAACTAATATTTTTTCAGCATGCAGCTTGAAAATGCTGTAGTTACAGCCCCTCGGGCCAATATTCCTCTGAGCTCTAGCTCATGGTGGGATGATTTGAGATGAAACAATGCATATCTGCCAGATATTTTGGGATGTTCAATTTACATTGCAATTTCCCAAAGGGGGGGGGGCTTCTGGGAAGGCTAGGGGAACAGTACAAATTGTGACTGCAACCTTGTGACCTGGCAACCCTGAGAGGGCAAGAAAGTAAATGGATGGGAAGGTCTGGATTTTATATGCT